CCGCATCGCAACGAAATTGTGTCGGGGGTGCGCTAAGCAATGGCTTATTGTAGGCCTCAGAGGCTTTAAATGAAAACAAAATATTGAGTAGAACCAGAGTTATCAATTCTTGAGTAATTTGTTTAGAGATCACGGTTAGGCAGTTACTTCAATTCCCATCCCAACCTACTCTATCGCGAGCCACATTTAAAAGTTGTACTACTCAACTGATAAAAAAAATTTGGTGAAAAATTTCAAATCCGACAGTATATTCATAAAAAGCGCCGAGGATAGTGGATCCGTGTACCTAAGAATTAAAAAAAGATACATAAACATGATGCTCAATCTCAAATCAGACTAGAAAACAGTGGGCCTCAAATAATTTGAAATCCAAAAAGTTACGTAAACTAGATGGACGATTGCGCAATTGATAAACCGAGTTTAATGAAAATCGTTAGAGCCGTTTTTGAGAAAATTGTAAAAATGTGTTCCAGCGTCGATGTTAAGTGGAACTTCCGGTTAGCCGATTTTAAGGAAAAAGTTGCTGTCACATCTAAAGCATATATAAATCTTAAATACGTAATATCAGTTTCGTACGACTTTTCGTTTTTGAGCTAGACTACGAACAGACACCCACACAGACATACAGACCATTTTTCGGGTGGTTATTTGTACTCAGGGTAATACACCCCCAAAACGTGTATTTCCGTTGAAAACTCAGATTCAAACATTTTCACGAACGCAATACTTACCCTTACTGTATATTAGATATATACGTAAGTGAAAGTAACAAGGATTTAACAACTAGTAGAATAAATAACGTAAAATAGATAAAACATTTTAATTAGCCTGCATTACAGACACGTTCTGCAGTAAAATTAATCACCAGATGCATTTCTAAATTTGCTTCTGTGAATCCTAATCTTTTATCATTTAAAATATTTTTCTAATTATAAAATGTGCTTTCTGCATCAGCAGGGATGATAGGGACAACTTAAAATTACTGGATTGAGGTCAATGTCGCAGGGAGCCACTGATACTCCACCATTTAAAATTGTAGTAATACCTTCCAGAATTTTTTAATTAGTACCTGTTTTTTTGGGTTTTTTAAATAAAAACTAGTTCCATTTTACTTTCACTTACCTATATATGTAATATATAGTAAGGGTAAGTATTACAATCGTGAAAATTTTTGAATCTGAGTTTTCAACGGAAATACACATTTTGAGGTCCCCTGATTCTAAATAACTAAGTCCCGCAAAATGGTCTGTGTGTGTGTATTTGTTAACAGTCTATCTCAAAAACGAAAAGTCGTACGGAAGTGAAATTATATACTTAAGGGTTTTATATACTAGCGATGTTACAGCAACAGTTTTCGTCAAAATCAGCTAATCGGAAGCTAACTGGACTAAACACATTTTTACGTTTATCTCGAAAACTGTTCCAACAATTTTGATTAAATTCATCATATCAGTGTAAAATTAAGCATTTTAAAATAAAATGTGGTTATTATTCTCATTTATTTTCTCTAACAGGGCTTAAATAGCTATTTTTCAATATTAGCTCCCTCTAAAATACCTTTAACTTTATTTATTTGAAACAATTGACCATTTCATATTAATTTCTAATATGAAAAATGGCTAAATATAAAATATGAAAGAATTAAATAATTTTTTTTTTTTTTTTTTAATCTATTTATTGAATAATAATACATGCAGCCACTGCTGGAGGGCTATAAGCATTAGGGCTGAAAGTTCTCATTCATACAATATATACAAATAATAAAGAAATAAATATAAATATAAGAAGTAAATAAATAATACTGATGAAGAAGATAAATAAAAAGAAAATAAAAAAAAATAAAAAATAATAATAATAATAATAAACAAATAAAATAAAATAAAAACTTAAAATAAAATAAAAACTAAAATAAAATAAAAACTTAAAATAAAATAAAAACTTAAAATAAAATAAAAACTTAAAATAAAATAAAAACTAAAATAAAATAAAAACTTAAAATAAAAACTAATTAAATAATTAACTAAAGGAGATATAAGAGATCGTAACGGAGAATAGTTGTAATTGAGGAACCAAAGGAATAGGAGAGCACCCAAGGTTGAGCTACATATAATTGTTGGTATTATTTAATATTTAATTGTATTAATTCCAGAGATATAAATATTAAAATTTCTATATTTGAGGGTACTTATACAAATAAAAATACCCACAATGAAATTTAAATAAGTATAGAGTCTATAATTTTTACTTTCACTTCGTTTTTTCTGAAAATACTTATTTCTACAAAGAGAGTGGTAAGTGAAAATTGTGTGATGCGCGCACCGCACCAGATTTTTTACCAGTTGTAAAAACTGTTTCTTGTCTGTTCTAAGGTTCAATCCAAGATTTTAACTTTTATGAAAATGATGAACATACTTTTGGCATTTTAAATAAACAGAAATACGATATTTCAAAGAAGTATGAAACCAATTGAACTAGAAGCTTATTATGATGTTTAAAAGGGAAAAGAAAGGAAATGGATTTCCAGGAATTGGTGAAATCAATGAAGAGTATAGTGGAAGATATGAATAAAATTTACAAATGTGGTAGATTCGGTTGTTTTGTTCATTGAAAATAAGCCTACAATTGTAATTTTGAATTGCATTTTAATTTGTTTATATAAATAAATAAATAAATAATCATTTACACTTATATTTTTTATTTATTTCATTAAATTAATCATAATTCATACCATAAATAATATGCATTTATCCTCAAATATGCAAAAATATTCAAAATAAAATTTGGCTAATTGTATCACAGTGTACTAATTTGTATAGATATCTGATCATCGGTTAAAAAAATCACATGAACAAAATATTTAATCGCATAAAAATCTGGGCTCTGGTTATTAATCAAATAAAAATATAATCAAAGGCGGAAATGGATAGTGACGAAAAATGAATAAATTTAATTATTAGATTAAGATTAGACACGTAGGAAGTATTTATGGTATTTAATGGTTTAAATTAATATATTGTACCATTTACACTTTTTATTTTTTCTTATTTATACTGAAAGTATAATGGTAAGTGAAAGTCACTTTGACTCGGCATATAGGTGGGACACATGAGACTATCTTGAAGTACCTAAGACAAATCTTAAAATTATCACATATATGATAATATAATTATATGATAAAATCATGTATGGAGAAGGGACAAGAGGAGTGAAATATTTATAAATTATGGCTTTTGGAGTCAATAAACACATTTCTTCTATTATATAAAAATGTGTTATATGGTGTCTTTCATATTTTATTATTAATAGAGTAGAAGATAACAGGAGCTCAACTTATTACGTGATTATTTTACAAATTATACAACTGTTCGTTTAATTACATATGCATTGAGCTCCTTTTTTTTTTTCTCCTACTCTCCTAATACAAAATAAAGATTTTAGACTAAAAATTTGTTCGAAAATTCATCTGTAGGTGGTAATTTAATTTTACCTAGCTGACAGCATTTATTTTTCAATCTAGACATATCCTATTGAATAAACTATATTACATATAATATTATTTATATTATATTGTGATATAATGATAATAATTAATGAAGTAGAAAAGGAAGCACGATATAACGTACAATGAAAATATTAAAAATAAAAGGCTCAAATTGATGCTGGGCTAATATGAAGCTGGACAAGTTGAATATATATTACGGTTACAAATTAGCAATAAGAATAATTAGAAATATACAATAATATAAATTGGCCATAATATAGATTTTTAAATAAATTAAAAATTTGTCAGAACTGTGGTTTTGTTCGGTTTATTTATGTTACAAAAAGTAATTCAATCTGAACTGTAAAATAAATGTAAATTAAAGTTATACAAGTTGAGCAATGAGTAGTACAATTAAATGAACAGTTGTATTTGCTGTATAATTTGTAAAATGGGGGTTGGTCCGTCAATACGATGTCAGGGGATACTCATCTAGTAGAAGAAGAAGAAAAATAAATTTTATCCGGGGACATTTAGTCCCCTATGAATAATTATAATGAACAAAAAGATGAAAATTGTATGGTATTATAAAAAAATAAGAAATATTTTAGCTAATATAACATAATAATCTAACCTTATAATTAAGTACTAGTAAACATATTGATTTGTACATAAATATAAATGAGTGTGTTCACATATTTGTTCTGATTAACAATATCGATGATATATAAGTAACAGTAACATAACAATCAAATGGGAGTGACAGCGCTTTAATACAAAATTTGACATGTATTCGAAAGATTGATTGCTAAGGAGGTGGAAGAATAAATGAGGTTAAGGAAAAGAATTTGCGTATTGAGATAGGCAGGGAATTCCAAAAAAAGGTCAAATGCGTGATAAAGGATTTTTTAAAGGAAACGGTTCTATGAGAGGGAAAAAACAAGTTTACGATGGACTGGGATCTTGTGTTAAACGCATGAACAGAGGAACAAGGAGTAAACAAATCAAGAAGATAAGATAGCTTTTTGGTTGTAAAGGTTCGGAAATGGAATACACCTAAGAAATATTGCTGCCGAAAATCCGGATAGAGCCACTTCACCTCAGCATACCAACTAGAGATGTGGGAGCGCCTGGGGACTCCAAAGATGAATCGAATGAAACAATTCATTAATCTCTTCGATCTGATCTCAAGCCCACCAGACTGTCCACCGTATACAAGGTAGACATAATCGAAGTGAGGAAACTAGGTGTGGGTTTTTAGGGACATAGAATCATGGAATCTCAGAGGTTTTAGGGTAGCGATAGATTTTTGGATAATTTGGGAGAAATGATTATTCCAGGACAGATATTGATCGAAAATGACTCCGAGATATCTCACAGAAGTATGCTAAACAAATATATTATATAATTAATATATATAAGTAAATATATATTTTACTATATACTATATATTTTAGTAAAAAAGCACATAACATATGCTAAAATATATAAAGAATTATATATATTTATTATTTTACAGTACCTGAAAAAAATCCATAGAAGCCAGTCATAATGAAATATATTTTGGCTATCATTTTGTTGAGTGCTTCATTGCTGGCCTCAGAAGGAGCCAAAATCCTGATAGTGCTGCCCATGCCATGGTTCAGCCACACCAATACCTTCATGCCAGTCTTCAAAGAGCTTGCTAAGAGGGGTCACCAGGTGACAATGGTGTCGCCGTTTCCTCAGAAGAAACCTTTGCCTAACTGGACAGATCTTACTGTAAATGCCACACCATTAATATCTGTCATGGGTTAGTATTACAACTGAATCAGTAGAAATAGCAAACTGTTCAAATATTTTACATTTTGTATTTATCTAACAAAAAACTGTTGAAATTATTTATTTTATCTTAATACAGGTTTTTATCAATAAAGTATTTAAAATATATCGAAGGAGGTTTGTCAGGAATTATAAAGGATTATTAAAAATTGTGTTTGTAGATAAAACATTACGTATATATATATATAAATAAACTATTTAGACAACATTAACTAGATAAAAGTAACTATCACAAAAACATTATCGTAAAAATGATTTTAAACATTTTTTTAATTTTAATTTTAAATGGATTTGTTATTTGTATTTATTCTTATGGTGAGCTCAATGCTATCATATTTTTAATACTTGTATGTGAATAGTTAAATAATTAAAATATGAGTATTGAATTGATTATAAGATTTTTTTAACCTATCGCTAATGAGATTGGATCGTATCAATAAAATTTGTTTTAAAATATTATTTATTTTATGAGAGGAGTTGGTCAGAGGTGAGGTCAAATAAATACTATAAACTGAAATAGGATATAAAAGATGATCTTGGGAAAGAGACTATAATACGTATCAGTAGAAAAAGGCTTTTTTAGTCTCGATAAATAATTACTTAATTTTAAAATTTTAATATTAAAATAAATTTTAATTATACAAATGTTCGCTTCTTCAGGCATCATCAGGGATAATCTGATTTTACATATTATTTAAATTTCCATCTGAAAAAAAAAACATAAAAAAATCTTTCAGAGGATTCATTATAAGGCATTAGCCAATTTATAAAACTATAATAACCTTAAAAACAATATTCAACAGTCAACAATATATATATATTAAAATATAAAAACTTACTCGCTTGTAACAGTATAGCCACTTGCACACCTTCAGATTATCTCTGAAGATGGATGAAGAGGCAAAAATTTGGATACATTTAAATTAAAGTAATTATTTATCGAGACTAAAAAGGCCTTTTTCTACCAAAATAGTATTTTATTGGATAAAAGTACCTATTTTAGTTTATAGTATTTATTTGACTGAACCCCAAAACAACTCTTTTTCATCTCTACACCGTTATTTATTTTAACTATTTCATGCTTTTTTGGTTTGCTGGGCAAACATCAGCTGATAAACTATCCTTAACTTAGCCTCATTAAATGTCCTTAATTGTGACAGAGTGTAATATCTCTCAATAAATATGGTTTAAAAAAAAGCCTCATTAATGATGAGAAATAATTTTTTTTTCCAAATTTTTTCTCTTGCTCTCATGAAAAATACATTAATATAAATAGATAAATCTAGTTTTCATCCTAATAAATTAAATAACATAAGTATAATAATAAAATAGCATAGATTTACTTCTTAGTATAATACTTTTTATTTTAAAACATTGTTTTATAGTAACATTTTGGCTTGTTATTTCTTGCTCTTTTCAAAAATTACTCAAAGTAATAGCGACTAGAATACGTAACAATTTAAAAACAGATTCAGAAAATATCAATATAATTCACTAAATCAATAATGTACTATTTAAATTCTGCATATAAAAACAGTTTATTAAGGATCTCTATAGAGGGTGCTCAGACAGTCTTATATGTCAACTTAATAAGTGAACAGTGAGGAACGTTTTAAATAAAGTATTAATAGGATGTATAAAAAAAAAAACGACTGTTTTTCAACCAAGTATTTGTATTATTATTTCTTTGATATAAAATATAATTAATACTCAAAGTACAGTCCATTGTTACCTACCATCATTAGCCATCTGCTAGCCAATTGCTCGATCCCACACTGATATCATTCTTTGGGAAGGCTGTCAAAGAACTCTTCGACCACTGTTTCAACTTCTGCAAAATTATCAATTTTTTTCCCTTTAAGGAAATGGGCCATAGATCTAAATAAGTAGTAATCCAATGGTACAAGTTCTGGTCTATATACTGGATGAGGCAGGAGTCTCACATCAGAAGGGTTTTTCAATAAATTTTCACAAATTTCTAACCTCTTAGCTGGTTGCTGAGGAGTCAATACGTGAGGGACCAGTCTACTGCTCTTTTTCACCTTTCCCATGGAGAGTAGATGGCGACTAACAGAATCTTTCGACACAACACACTTCCTGGCATGTTCCCGAGTACTCGTGGACAGATTTGACTCAGCAGCTTCCTGCAGAACCTCATCAATATCCATTAATGGTCGCCCGGAGCCCTTCTTCCTGTTTAATGTTGTATTTCCACAGCTAAATTTTTCAAACCCATGCCACACAGTGTACTGGTCAAGGACACCTTCCCCTTCATATTCAATAATTTCACGAGTTGCTTCAGTGGCTTTGTAATTTTTTTTCCAGAAATACCTTAAAATTACGAGAATTGTGTAGGACACTGTCATATTTCTTCTTTGAAACAAATAACTAAACTGAGGCTTTTTTTGATGAAGTCAAATGGGATTAAACAAGGTTAGGTATTGGATTGTTAAGTATTAAATAGGATTAAAATATTTACAGTTCTTTGAAATCTTGTATTTGATAAAACAGTCATTTTTTTTATATACCCTATTAAATTAAAAAAAAAAAAACAAGAAATAAAAAAAGAAACTGTACTTCTATGTTCTTCAATTCAGATCTTTGATATACTGTTCAATTTCTTATTCTTTACAACACATGATTTAAATATTATTTTTCATATTCTAGAGCATCACTTAGCAGATAGAGTTACCAGTGGGCATAATACATATATGTTCTATCCTTCTTCATGGAACTTTTTTACTGAGGTAATGGAAACAGCATTTCAAGACCAAACTTTACAAGAAGTAATAAAATCAGAGAATCTAGACTATGATCTTGTGATAACCGAACCATTCTATGGCCATGAACCATTAGTGGCGCTTGGGCATAAACTGAATGTTCCCGTTGTTGCGATACATCCCTTGGGCCTAACTCCTTGGGGAGCTTATTTGTCCGGAAATGAATTGTCTTTCCATCTAATGCCAAATATCCGCACAGCTTACACAAATGAAATGACATTTTTCCAACGCTTTGATAATTTATTGATCAACTCGATAGAATTTTCTATAGCGTATTTCCATTACATTCCAACAAAGGTATGATATTTTATCATCCTATACTATACATATGGGAAATATATATACTATACATACTTTATTAATTATTATTATATTTTAGGAAGGACAAATGAATAAGTATATGGTTTATCCTGGCAGCGACAATCGACCATCGATGCTCACTATGTTAAGGAATGTTTCATTAACATTAGTTGATTACCACTCTTCTGTTCTCTACCCAGAACCACTTCAGCCTAACACGATTCCTGTCGGAGGGCTCAGCATATCGCATGTTGAAGAATTACCAAAGGTCACACAATTACTATTGATAGTTGTAGCAATCAAAGTCATAGCAAGAAATTCAATTATCGGTCAATAATATTCTCAAACTTAAAAGTCATATAAGTATCTACTAATAAATTGCTAATAAAAATAAAAAAAATAAACAGTCACTCTTCTAATTTTAAAAACATTGTAGAGTTAAGAAAATATTATAAAAAAATTGAAACATTGTTGAATGAAAGAGGTTAGGATAGTTGAAAGCACTAAATAAAGGATGAAAACAAAGAAGATGCTGGTACTGTAAAGTGATATAAAAGGCAGCAGAAAGGAAAAGCGAATACCAAGGCGATGTTTCAGACAAAATGAAGCAGAGACTATAGACTCCTCGACTGTTTCTAATTACCAGAATGATATTCTGCTTCTTGATTAATATAAACCTTTTAGGAAAAACTAATTTATTTAGGAAATTGAGATATTTACACTCATAATATAATTCCACATTGACTGAACTATTTGAAATTTTCCCAATAATATAAGTAAAGTTTACAGTACTATCTATCCTCCTTACTCAATATTTTAAAACAATTTTAGAAAATGATACAACTTTGTGAGTCAATGTAAATAAAGATTCTTCAATCTTTTTTTTTTTTTTTAAATTTGACTTTTTTTAATATGTAGCTCCCTAATAAACAAGGCCTGGAAATTGATGATATTGCATATTGTGTTTGGATGCAGTTTTTAAACTAGTGATCAAATATCAAATATACAAATTAGTGAATCCAGATGCAATTAGCCACACTTTATATTGCATATTTTTTCATATTTGATGATAAATGCATATTTACACTGCAGTACCCGCTCTAGGTCTTCAGATCTATATACTACGGGCCACCGAACTGCTGCTTTCGATAAATCTTTTATTATTCGATACTCATCCCTATGAAACTCCATTCCTCCTGACATCTGTCGCTCCAATACTCTCCCTACTTTTAAATCCCGCCTATTCAATCACTTCCTTTCCATCCAGTCCCTATAAAATTGGAAATAAATTTTTTTGTAAATATGTATATATATTATTAGTTTATTTTGAATTCATGTTTCTTTCATTTATTTTTTTTTTCTTTATCAATTTAAGTTAGAAGATAACTTTTTTTTTCTATTATATCTATTACTTTATTTTATAAATACATTTATATATATCTGAGGTTCAAAAGCCCACATTTCTGTCCTTGTTAGTTATTCTAAACGTGATTCGTCCCGGAATAAATAAAAGATTATTATTATTTTGATGACTTAAAAAAAATAATGATTAGAGATAATTAATTAAAATTGAACATTGAAGATATAATTGAAAAATCCATTCCATGCTACCTTCATTTAGTAAATTCTTAGAATATGGATTTTTTTTTTTTATTTCCTGACTTTTTATCTTCCCTTTAACTTCTCAACTCTAGAATTAATTTCAATTTCTTACTTTTTTTAGTAAGAAATTTGGTTATATTTTTTATAATTTTAAGTACATCGTTTTCTTCGAAATAGAAATATTGGATCGACCGAGATGATTTCAAAGATGAAAGAGTTTTTAAAACTCATTGAAAGATTTGTTTTTACTTCTATTGTTCAAAATACGTTTCTATTTAAAACAAATCGTCAATAATTTAAAGTGGATACAAATTTACTGCTAACAATCTGTTGTAGAACAATCATTTTCTTATTATAAAAATATTTCAAACGAGAGAAGATTAGGTGTTCAGAAATAAATTAAGAAATTTATTAATTAATATTCTTCAGATCAAGTTAGTTTCTAATTTCTAATCCATAGGCATTTTATCTATTTTGTTCACCTTGTCAATTAATTCTTTATTTAAAAACATTGCTAGTTTCCTTTTATTACTGATTATAAATTATATTATAATAACGTTTAATAAGTATCTCACATTATGTATTTAATTATTATATTATCCTAAAACTGCTATTTGGAAGAAGAGGATGATATTAAATAAATAAGTTTTAAAAACCTGTACCACTAACAACCAGTGAAGGTTCCCAACATTGAATTGAATATTTTAAATGTTTTAGTGTATAGAGATTTATTCACTGAATTTTTTTTTTTTACTGCATATTTTGCTGCATAATTGACAGTTTTTATTGCATATTATATGGAATGTTTTATTGATTTTTACTGCATAAAATCGTGCTAGTAACATTGTGATAGCTAATATTTTTTCTGAGAGTATTTGATAATATACCTAAATAATAATTTCATAAATTGACTAATCAGATTTTTCGTTTTGTTTCAGGATTTGAAAGATATTCTGGATAATGCAAAAAAAGGAGCAGTACTTTTAAGTTTTGGTTCATTATTCCGAGGTAAAACTCTGGAATCTAGAGTGCTGTCGGTACTTTTTGAAACTTTTGCTGAATTGGACCAAGTATTGATAATGAGGTGGCACACTGAGGACATCCCCAACAAACCAAACAATGTTATAATAAAAACATGGATGCCACAACCCAGTATATTAGGTAGATTTTTTAAAAAGATTTATATCAATTTATATTTATATCCTAACTTTAGGAAAACATCTGATTGAAAATTAAATTACTGAATAAAATAAAATTGAGAACTGAAAGTTGCTAATAGAGATGAGTGGAGGATTTTAAAATCAATTTTTGTATACTATTAGTCTTTCTTGGGAAACTGAAAAAAATTTGTAAATACAAATTTGATTTTGAATATTACAGCTCATCCCAACCTCAAGTTGTTCATAACTCATGCTGGACTTCATGGAATTACAGAAGGAGCCTACTTTGGAATACCTCTTATATGCATGCCGTTGTTTTCTGATCAAGAATTTGACTCGAGATTTGTTGAAAAAGCTGGTTTTGGAACTGTTCTTCTTCTAAAAGATTTCAACAAAGAAAGTCTCCTTGCTAATATTAACGAAGTATTAAAAAATCCCAAGTGAGTTTTATTTTTTTAATAAAATAGCAATAACAACTACTTAAATAAAACAATCTTATGTATATACTTAATATACATAATACGTATACGTAATATACTTAAATAAAACAATCTTGTGACAGTGAATGAAGAATCAAGCCTCATAATATACCTATACAATATATTTTGCTAAGCCAGAGTCACACAATGACCTAAGTGTGATGACCTAAAAGCTATGAACATTTGCGCTGCAGGGCACTTAAGGCATTGTCTGACCGTGTTGGGAATGGCAAATCGCGAATGTGAAGTGACAAATGTTCGTGCATTGCCCCGGTTACGCGATGCCTTCTCCAGTTACACGATGCCATAAACGTTCAGTGCATGTAGTTCATCTCATAGCCCAATGACGAATACTCGTGCTCACAGCATGTCCTACGAGGTATAGGACATGCTGTGAACATTTCTGGACATCATAGGAATTCTAGGAATCAATAATCGCCGAGTATAGCTATGTTTTCTATGGCTGTACTGTGAAAAGCCGCTATAATGGGCATTAAAATTTATAATTTTTAATTACTTGTTTATTATTTAATTTCATTGATCGTTTCTGATGGTGTAAAATAACTAATAAAGGCAACTGTACTTTAATTTTATGATAATTTATACTAATTTTGAATAATGCTGAAGTTCATTTAGTAAAATTTAATTAAATAAATACAGGATTTTATTTAAATTTACAAGTAAATTATTGCTATTTTTTTCTTTTTTCCATTGAATACTAATATAATATATTGTAACATCTCTCTTATGTTTTACTACTACTACTGCTAATAACAATAATAATATAACCTCGGAAGCTCACTTCATACTATTGGGATACTTCCTAAAGAAATAAGAGGTAGTTGAATAATAAGCAAAATTATGAGAGTATTAATATATTAAATTTAAATTTACAATTATTTTATCTCAAGGTATGGATTACAGACCATCAGATCAAAAAATTTAGACAGACTAACATTAACTTCACTAAACACTGTTTGATTTTGAAATAAAGTCAAATATGGATCAGCAAGCTAACCTTTTTTCTATAGATAATGTTTCTTTCTTGGTTGCACTAAATTCATGTCTTCAAATGCTTTCCAATCTTCTGCCAAACACAAATTCCAAAATAGTGACACTTTCTTCTACTCAAATCTAACTCCCTGGGAGATCCTCTCTCTTGTGATTCCAAACAACTAGTCTCTCTGCCAAACAACAACGTTCAAGATGGTAATACTATTACTGGGTTTTACCCATTGGAGCCAGGATCCCTTCTCCCATCCTCTCTTCACTCCAGCCAAACACAAACTTTTTTTTTTGGATCCTCCCCTTCCTCGCCTTTAAGGCTATAAGGGGGCTTTCCCGGGCCAGGAGGTGTGGGTGGGGATTTAAAAGAATCCCCCGGCACCTAGACCGAAGCCAAACGCCAACTGCTTGCCAAAACAAAAATCCTTTGTCCCTTCTCTTCTTTGGGATTTTCTTTTCTGGGAAAACTACAGACCAGCCATATTATTTTTCCTGCACTAGTAGAACTAGATTAGCTTGCCTTATTTAACTATTAAACATTAATTTATTAAACCCTTTTTACTCACTTCCAATAAAGGTGTACATTACAATATTGAATTCCTTAATGCAGAAATAAGATACAATAAACGCAAAATAAGTATTTCCATTAAACGAATGGTATATTAGTAGACAAAAATCCCTTTAGAAAGGATGAATAAATCCTTGACTTGAATAGGATAATACAATCTTTAAAAATGCGTAAAGCAATAATTATTACAAACCTAAAATTCATAGATTAGTTAGTAAGAAAACAAATTGAAACTAATAATAAACTATTTATATAAACAGACCATCAGATAAATTATCTTCCTTGAGTTGAGCTTATGAACTATATAACCTTGGTATAAAAAATGTAATAGAAGGGAAACAAAATTTTAATTGAAATTAAAATAAATTAAATAAAAATTAATTAAATTAAATTAAAATTAGGCAACACTTAAATAAGGATACAACTAGTTTTGATATACTAACTTTTGTACTGATTAGAAATAAACATAAATGGGAATAAAATTATGTGAAAAGAATAATTTAAAAAATTTGAATTTCTTGGAACTGATAAAGAACAATAACTCATTATTACAAGCATGGTAAGAAAATCTGTTGAACTATGTGAATGCTATTTAAAAAAAAAAAAGAAAAGTAGATTGCAGAATAAATTAAAACGCTGGACTAAAAATCAATAATATAACTCCTTGGTGAATAGAAGATTAATTTATTAAAGTAAATTAAAAAAATGTCTGCCAAGTAAGGTCAGTATAGCTTCCTCGCAATTTCATTGGTTAAAATATATCTACATTACAAGGTATACAATTTTTTGTATGAGAATAAAATCTATGGGAGAAGCTGATTCGGAAATACAGTTACCCTTTAACATTCGCGGGTTTGATATCCATGAATATCGTTTATCAGCTAATATTAAAATGCGAAAGAGTGCTATATTTGAAGATTCCATATTGATTATTCTTTAAAAAAAAAAAAATACCAATGTATACTGAACATACATTTCACTACTGATAGTGAAAAAGGTTGTATTTAAAAATTAATTATTTCTTTATAATTTTATATTTTATTGTCCTCTGCTATTTTCCATTGTAGCAGACTGCTTATGTCAGTTGCAGGCTACAAAATGTCACCTTTAGCACAAATAGATTAAAAATTGAAAATCTTTACATATGACCTTTTGGACTTATAATAGTGATACATACTAAATAGGTACGTTTTCAGTTCGTAAAATGGATGGAACTAGAAAATCCAAAGGGAAAATTCAAGTTGTTGTTTGTTCGGAGTTAACGAGACCGATACTTCTCTTCAGTGAGAATATAACTAATTAAGCTTGAATATAAAAATATGGGTGAAGTTCACACAACTTCGATATTTAAGGAGGAAATCGAGACCAAGACAAACTGAAAATTACAGGAAATCTAAGTAAGGCAGTAAGCGTCATGCCAGTAATGTTTGGAATCGACCAAACACTATAGTATCAATTAATTTTTTTAATAAAACCTAAAATTTTATAACCCCATAACAATATTATAATAACCTAACTCCCAGGCCATATGATCTGTGCCTTCAACATTGCACAGCCATTATATTCTTAACAATTATTTATATTAATTTTAATTATTAAATGGAATTCAATGAAATTGATAATAAGTAATTTCTATACTGTTCTCAAAATTTCAAACTATAAGCATATCAAATAACACAGTTCCTGATCTAAAAGTGTAAGTATTTTTTTTTTTGTAGTCGATAGAATTTGATAGAATTAATGCCTATTTCATTTTATGTTTGCCAATCCCTAAATTTCCTCCAAATTTGAGCCAAATCGAACTTGCGGTTTTAGAGATATAGACATAAACAGCAGTTTCGACTATTTTTATTTTAAATACCTAAAATATCAGATGATAAATACATTTGATGTTTTGATTAGTAATGGTTTTAAAGAACTAAACAATGAATAACATATATTAAAATTAAATTTAACATAAAATAATAAATCAAAACGTTTTATCATAAATTTCTAATTAACACCAACTTCTGTTTGTTAAGATAATAAATTAGAATTAATTCATAGAACAGCAACAACAAAAAGTTGACCATACCTAATAACCAGTATTTCCACAATATTTTTAAAAAATTTCCATTTGGTCAGTCAAATTCTCCCTTTTCTTCCCTCAAAATGAACAATTAAAAATAACTTCCAACCAAATATGTACAAAATAATAGGTAATATTATATGTCTCTACTCGTTATATGTCAGTTTTACTTATATTATATGTCTCTACTCGTTATATGTCAGTTTTGCTTATGTTATTAAAAAATAGATCAAGATGTGCTCATAATTGGCTTTTCTTGCTAAAATTGTATCTCTTTTTTCCCTCCTAACATAGGAATTTCTCTAAAAAGAAACCGTTTTCATCAAAGTGAAAACCCAACTAATAACATAAAAGTTTAAAAATGCAATAATTATAAATTAAATATTTAAATAAAGATTTATTACAATTATTGAAGATGTAAACGAAGTTAATAATAATAATAAAAAAGTGTTATAAAATTCACACTTAACGAAACATCACTTAACTTAAAAAAAAGGAAGTAATAATAATAAACAGGGTTTGAAATCGATAATTAAGAAAATAAAAACTAAAATCAAATCTAATCAAAATTTGTCTCTGGAATTTTTAAAAATCATTTCATGATTTTTATGAAAAGCGATTTTTATTTACGATCAGAAGTGATAAAAATCATATTCTGATCATTATTTTTTAGCAAAATTTTTCTATTAGCAATATAACATCTTTATTTCCAAAATTTATTCGAAATGTTGGCTTATGAAACAAAAATAAAGTAAATAAATATATGTATGAATAGTGCAGATACAGCGTGCACAATTAAAGCTATTAAAGAAATGTAATATTAAAAAAGTGTACTTTAATAATGAATACATTCATATCAATATATTAATTTGTGTGTAAAAGGTGATTTTTATGTTCTGATCAAAACATTTTTTATTACAATTTAATCATTATTGTTTATGTTAAACTGTATCATTATTTTTAATCGAATCAATAATCATCAAAGATCTATTTAATTTTCTATTCATAAATTAGGCCTAATATCAAAATTATAAATCAAATATAATAATTATTACCAGGTGTTGTGGGAAAAGTAATTATCGATTAAAAATCTTGATAATAAAATATATATAATAATTATTAATTAAACGTTACAGCACTGACAAAACAAGTATCTATATACTTATAATAATAATTTGTAGTTTAATTATAATAAACTTTTAATTTTCGTTGAAATCAGTAACGTCTATACATATAAAAATCCAACATTCGTCTCACATTGCACGAACCATTCACATTACACTTGAGGAACCATTGCTATGAATATTGCTGTGAACATTCGTGCAAACGTTTAGGCCATCGTGTGATACCTCCTTTAGAAACAGATAGAGGCAAAGATAAAACTAAAATTAAACTATTTCTGTTCTCTACATTAACCAAATGAAACAAAATTTAAAAAGTAAATAAATATGTCATAACATATTTCAGTCTTGACTCATTTTTAAATTACAATAAATAATTAATAACAAGAATATTATGGGAAAGTAAAACAGGCTTTAGAGGCTTAGTGTAAAATAAAGAGAACAAAAGAACTACCAGATAAAATAAAATCCTATTAAGTGAATTCTAAAGTTACTGGATTGAATAAAGAAATTAAATAATTATAAATAAAAATGAAAAGTAATTAATGTATGCTTAAAAATATAAACTTTTTAATGAAAATAACAAATATATATTTACAATACATTTCATGACTTTTGAAGTTGAAATTGTAAATTGCTAAGATTGGAAGTAACTAGAGACCAACGAGGAAATATGCAACAAATGTAATTTAGCCACTTTGATATAAAAATGGTACAACAAATATATTGGAAACATGGTTTTCAAGAAGACAGGTTGATTAAGGGGATTTTGAGGTCCTTGATTGTTGTACAGAATTTTATGGGGTTATTATTTAATAATAGAGTTGGAAAATGAAGGATTGTTTTAAGGACGTGATTGGAACTTATTACCATTCTTCTTTGTCTTTAGCATATTCAATTTATATAATATTTTCAAATCAATCTTATATGATTCCTTACCAACAACATTCATTCCTAATTCATCTATTTACTTGCAGGTACAAAAGAGCAGCATTGGAAAGATCTGAAATAATAAAAGACAGGCCACAGACAGCTCTTGAGTCAGCTGTTTATTGGGTCGAGTACGTCATCAAGCACAAAGGGGCAGCCCACCTCAAACCTGCCAGGCTGCAACTGTCGCTGTATCAGATTTTAGGATTAGACATTGTCATCTTTCTTCTATCTCTCCTGGCAGTTTTAACTATATTCAGTTGTAAAACTGTTTCTTTTCTGAAATCACTAAAATGTGAGAATTCAATCAAAACTAAAAAAGAATAGTTTTATTTAAACTTTGCACCAAAAAAAAAACAACACATCATTAATTACTTTTTCCCCCAACAAAACAAGTTATAATTTTACAAGATATTAAAAAAATTATTTCACTACAATTATTTATCTAAAGTAACATTATCTTCGTAGTAACAAAGAAAAAGAAATAAAAGATGATTCCTATTATTGGCCTAAAAAACTTTTTTTTTCATCATCAGTAATTAGCTAAAAAAAAATAAAGCATTATTTCAGTAACACATTCAAAAATAAAGATCCAAGCAAAGGATACAACCTTTGTAGTAAAACATAGAAAAAACATCTAGAGACCATATCTTTGCTCCAAATAGTCCGATTTTTTTTTTACTTTTAGAAAATTTTGTAAACTTTTGAATAACTATCTTCTTATAATAATAAACTTTTAAAGAAACATCTTGTCACAATATCGACAAAGAAGTGTATACTTTTTGAGTTATTCGGAATCTAATTTTACCATCCCGCCTAACTTATTTTCCAGCTTCTTTTCGTTGAAATATGTTATATAGATAAATTTAAAGGGCATCAAGAAGAAGACTTTAGCCAAGTTTCATTGAAATTGGAACATTCAGTTAGGCGCTACAGTCTATAGCAACGCTGATTTTTCGGCCGCCATCTTCAAAGGAAAATGCGGATGGTAATGAAGGAGGATCATCCTTGGGTGACTTCTAAATTTAAATCGAAATTTGAAAAAAATCGGTCCAGTAGTTTCGGAGAAAATGCGTGAACGGCGGATAGACAAAAACATTTTATTCGTTTTTCGAATTATATGTATCCTGAAACGTAAAACCTCAAATTTTGAGAGGGGGTTAAGTTTTTGAATTTTTTGTTCGATTAAAATGGTTCATTATTGAAAATAATAAAGCAAAAACAATATAATTTCAAAATTTATTTAAACAATAAAAAAGTATAGTTATTTTTTCAAATAGCTAATGTTTTTTGTTTGATATTAAACATTATTGTACTGAGAAAGATGGGCCAGTTGGTGCAGCTGAACTTACTTTGAATCCTATCTTCCTAATTGAGTTTCTGTTGACAGAAAATTAGTTGGCTTTGTTTCAGCATGAACTGCAATCTGACAATAAATACCTTACAACAGTTTGGAGTTCAGTTGTACCACATTGTCATCCAAGGATAGCCTAAGGTACAAAATTGTGCCCCTCTACCTCGGTCTATGGTGGAACTGGGTTGTTTATTTGATTATATGTAGCTGAACCATTTAAATCAAGAAGAGGCAGATATATTTAAGGGTAGGTTAAATTTTTTTAACTTTTTAGGCTCGATTATGTAAATTTTTGTTAATAAGCTGTTTTTTATCATAGCATTAGTCACAAGATAATGCAGAAAAATGTTTGAGCTGTGTTAATTTGTTGTAAATGAAAAAGATTGACTAATAAATGTGATATGGTATGGAAAACAAATATAAATAAATATTTTTATAATATTTATTTATTTTTATATATTATAATAAATATATATATATTTATACTGATAATAAAATACATTTGTGACAAACAAAATAAATATAATACATTAGACGGTTATAAAAAGCGTGGTAATTAATTGTTTCAAATAATGTTTCTTCCCGTCTACAATTTTTAATAGCTTCCTTTTGTCTTAAAATACTTATTTCTGCTAAGAAGTTGGTAAGTGAAAGTTGTAGTATGATGGACACACCACACCAGATTTTTTTTTAATAATGTGTTACAGAGAATTAATTTTTTGTTAACATTTCTTACATTTTTCATAATAACATAACTATTAATGGAATCAAGATTGGAATTGGAGCCCACTCGACTGGCTGGATCAAGGTGTGGCGAGGAGTACTCCAAGGCGGCCCATTGTCATCCTCGCTGTTCATATATACTGCGACCTGTGTGAACAAGAATTTTCCAACCACTATGGATATAAATTAACTAGCAACCAAGAATGTGAGGTCCTCATAGGCTTCGTGATTGACCAGGCTGTTACAGTACGTGACAAGGATGGATTATCAATGGTGAGCAGAGGATCCTTATCGAGATTGATCTCGCTATTAATTAACAGAAAAGCGTGGGCTTAATAATCAAGAAAGAAGAGCTGCAACAAAGCTCTCCCTAGAGAACAGAGAAATTATTAATTATTTAGGATGTACGTATTATCGGACTCCCTGCTAATACATCAACGGCAATGTTCTATGCACCTAGGAGTTTTCGCGGATTGGGCCTGATCCACTGTCAATGGGGTCCTCCTTTGCAGCATTGGTCCATTGCCCAGTGGCTGCCTAATGTACAGGATGCCCTGTTCCAGTCCACATTTAATTATAATGCAGAAAGACTGGAAGTGGATTAGGGCCACCGAAGCATGAGAGCACTACGATAGTCACTAAGAGAAAACTCTTTCGAAGAATAGGTCAGCTGCAGGTGGCAAGGGATTGGATACTTTAAAGAAACCCCAAAAGCCAATAAATAAATAAGCCAGAAACAAGTGGTTTCGGAGTCAGAATGGTCCAACGCCTTAAAACCAAACATCAAATACGCACCTTTACGTTGAGTCCCAGGAGCCAGTGGACAGTGGAAGAAAGTTGGGTCTATCTGTCGTAAGTGCGGCAGAGAGTCTGGAACACCAGCCCATGTGCTGGTAAAATGTCCCACCAGCTCCCTCCTCATAACACGTCGGCATCATAGAGTCAAGTTCGAGGTGATGAGGTTACTCAGAGAAAAGGAATACACCTGCTTTGACGAGGTCTATTTTATCGACAGTAAAAGCTCTACAAGGTATGCGGATATTGCCGCGTTTCCCAGGACAGTGCTGATCTTGCATCCAACTGTCCCCATTGAGAGCAATGATCTCGATCAGGCGGGTGGTTAGGTCCTAAAAGAGAAATTACGTGAGACCTTCGGAGAGAGAGTTCACCATGAGAGGTCTCTGTTGGGGAGCTTACAATATTGGACGAATATAATTTGGATTCCCTGGGGATCATCCACTATCATTTATATAATAATTGAGGATGTCTTTTATTAATTATTTATTCAATTTTAAATTTTTCTATTATCGTCTTGTCTACATTAGGGAAATTACTTTGGTATATATGTATGCGATGTAATGTTGAATTCCTGGCATTTGATTTTTTTGTTTTTTTTTAACAAGATGTTGTTTTGCAATGTTTATAGTTTCTTGATAAGATTTATTGTTAATAATTTATAGGACTAGTGTTATGAAAAGGGAGGAAAAAAAAAGAAAGAAAAGATATGTATGTAGATTGTATGAAGCAATCCTATGTAGTAGGGCAGCATTAATTTTAATAAAGCATTTCTCTCTCAATTGTCTGTAGTCAATTTTCAAAGGTTTCGATAGCAATAATGTTATAAATATCAAGAACTAAATATTTAAAAAAAATATATATTTATTATATTTCTACCATTCTTTAAAGTTATTATTCAATAATAATAGATAAATAAAGTTAGAGTGGGGTAGCACACTGGTAGGATACAGAGCTACCGAAAATTACTTATTCTGTTTCATTGGCCATAGGGCGACCCTGGGTAGGTAGATCCTCCTGGGCACACACAGCCTATATAAAGGTGGGAACCCTTAATTAAAATATTTAATTTAGTTAAAATTTCTCATATTATATCAACGGTCAACCATCTATACATCATCCTTAATTAAAATAATTAGTTAAGAGGAAAAAACTGGTGGTTGAGCGTGATCTCTGTCAAATCACCTCCTTGCACAACCATAAACCAAGAAACAGTGCTTTCCCTAAATAGTACTGAACCCAAGACCCTTCATGGGTTGTAGTGGTACAGAAAAAAATAAATAAATAAAACATCAGAGATCGAAAGATTCTCAGTATTATGGATTCATCTACGAAAAATACAATACGAAAACAAAGTATCAAATAGTCTGACATTTATTATTTAAACAATGAAAAGTTGAAACATTATATATTTTTATTTATTTCTTTGAGTGTTTAGACTACTGGGTTCATTTACACTGAAGTATCTTTAGTCACAGGCTTTATTTTTTAATTTTGTTATATATGTTTATAGTTTTTAAAAATTTAATAAGCCGTGTCTGGGTTCTGTTTCAATACTTCATCTGGGTCTGTGGAAAATCTGTAGGAGTTGTGAGCCATACACTCTGCTTGTGTTATACATTTTTAAGTATATAATAATATAAGGAAAGCCATATATTTATTTATTTTTAATGGAATAACAATTCATGTAATGACAAACAAATTTTAATAAATGTATAAGGCACTTAAATCAATAACCATTCACTCATCATTGTAAAAGCCTCTCAGTTGATTAATTATAAAAAAATATTAACCTTTTTAAAGGAAAATTTAAATTCTAAAATATTTGAAAATTATACCAATCCATTTCAAACTATTATTTTGGAATAAATTGTTTCCTACAACCATTATTTTTATTGAATGAAAGAACACAGAAGGTGAGGCTCACTTGCCTAGTTGCTACAAACAGAATGCGTTTTGGTAATAGAAATAAAGAAATTTAACATAAGAAAGAGGAACAAGGCATAAATTTACATCAACTAGCTAATTAACTATAACAAGAAAGCAAATGGTTAACATAATTCATTTGATATTAGTTTACATCTATTATTTAGTTACATATCACAAGAAAACAAGAAAGGAAATGATAAACAATAATAATTTGGTATTAATTTAAGAACAGTTGTGGAAAGAATAACTTTTAAAGGACTCTTCAACAATTGATTTATAACTAACAACAAAATATCAATCATCGAGGACATAACGACTGTTACGAAAAAAAAAATATATATATATGTATCAGGACTTGTTTTTTTTTCTTTCTAAAAATTAAATTTTGATTACTTTGAAATGCAAGTCTGCTTTTATATGAGATTTTGATATCATTAAATATATATACATGTAAATCTGTGTACAAAGAACACCATCCACATTCTCTATTGATTTTTACCTTCTACTCTCTCCTCCCTCACTTGTACACTGAGGCTTAGAATAATTTAATAATTGATCTCTCAGAATATAAATTAGTATCTAAAAACATTCCAATTGTTACTATTTTCATTACAAGAAAAGATAAATATTGAAGGATTATGGAAAATCCAATATAACAAGAAAAATGAAGATTTAATTTTGATAATTTCTCCAAATGAATACATCGATCGTTAATCATTCCTCTGGTGAATGATAATGTAAAAAACAACAACAGTTTTTTATATAAATAATAAACTAACAATAACAATGGCTATGATCTTTTCATTAATTAATATAAATTATAATTTGATTATTATATCATAATATCAACAACGGCAAAATGAAACATATTAATTTTGAGAGTTACCTCTTCAATTATTATTTTTCATTTTTTAGTTGAACCAAAATATTTAGTTTGTATTCTATTTTAATATTTAATCAATATATATATTATGTTAAAACCAAATAATGATTTTAACTCAATGAACCTTTAACTGGATATCCAGAAGCTTGGTTTACATACTTGTAATTAATGAAATGTGTGTTTGTCAGCCCACCATCACTTACTTTATTTGTCAGCCCACCATCACTTACTTTATTTATAATTGGTTGAGGCTTTATAGTATTTATACAAGACACAGGTATGTAAATTCACAAAAACACACACACACACATTTTTATATATCTTTTTATAAGTTTACCTTTTACTTAATAAATAACAAAGTCACAATACTGATCCATTGAGTTGTATAAATATTTTGATATTCAGGTGATTTTTCTTAATAACTATTTCAGTTGTCCAATACAATTGATTTTATTGGATTAAAAGGTAACCTGTTTTTTTTTGGTTAATAATTAAATAATATGTTTAAATTATTGATTAAATTAAAATAACAATAAATTAACATAAATAGTTACTTAGACACTACAAGATGAGATCACTATTTCACTAATACAACCATTTTTGCTGTTTAAATATTTTTCATGACATAATTTGAATTATATTGAAAAAAACTTTCATCATGATTATAATTAACATACTATACTTGTTACCTTCCTGAGTGATAATTGTTTTTTTATAATTATTGTTAATTATAAATATATTTAAAAAATTTCTCATTTGATACATCACTAGAAAGCTGATTAAATAATTGATAATAAGCTATATATCACAGACAATTCTTAAGTCTCAGAATTTTATAGATGGTACAGTAGTGGAGTGTTTAACTTTAATAGTGATTGTTATACAGTGACTTAATAAAACTAAATAACTCCCTTCAACATTGAAATAAAATTATGAATAGATTACCAGATAGAAACTAAGGAACAAAGTTATAAAAAAAAAAAATAGTTTGAATTTGCCTTTGGGCTGAAGAAATCATTAATAATTAACAATGTATAAATCATCAATACATTAAAGTCAACATCCTATGTGCTACGAAGACTTGATAGAAAAATATTTAGTCATAAAACTTAAAACAAACTCTTCAAGTTATGCTACTACTGACATTACGTAATACCCTCGGAATGTTGAGCTTTCAGTTCTAAAAAATATAGGCCTAGCTCATAAATTATTATTCTCTAAATAGCCTAAACTTGCTGATAAAGAGAGTGGACCACCGCCACTGTGTGATCCTTGTTTAGAATCCGATGACTCTTCTTTGGGGACCTGCGGGGATCCCCTGAGGAGGTAATCCATGTCATGGGAAATGCTGGTGAGAACTTCGGATGGACCAACTGTTCCAGACAAATCTCCTTTCAACAAATAGACTTGTTCCACGTCTCTGCCTTGTTCAATTGCGGCTTTACTCCTATTCTCTTCATTAGCACCTGCTTGAAGAATATTGCTGGTTATGCTGTTACCAGCTGACTGAGAGATCTTTTTAGAGCTGTTTGGGTTTACTTCCAGGTCTACACTTTGCTCTGTCTTCTCAACTAAACAAAATAGTTTTTAAAAATAGATCAGTAATCATCAAACTGTTTCAAAAAATTTTTCTAAATCAAATTTTTATTTTAAAATGTTTTAATCCGTTACATGTGGGCAATGAATCATAATATTAATTGAATTCAAAATATATAATTTATAAGGAATTTCGCAAAGGAGTTAACTTGGTTATACTTACTTGCAGATCTTTTTTTAAAAGTGACTAGTTTTGATTTATTAAAAAAATTATTTGGTATTTCTTTCATTTCTGCACCATATTCTCTGATTGCAAGAGGAACATCTTTGTTTTCTACTCCTGATTCTTGGTTGGTAAAAACTAAAAAATAAATTCATCGACTTTAATGAATTAGTTTAATTTATTAACTAATTGAGAACTTTTTCTTAATTTTTTATGTAAACAAATATATCTCATTTTTAATCTTATCTTCATAAGAATGTCCTCTAGCAATGTGGTGTAATAGGTGAATAATAAAGATATAACCAATTGTACTAACAGTTAAATAAATTATAAGCTGAACCCGAACTACATTGTCGATCGCTGATAGCTGTACTAAGCTCTTCAGTCCTAACCTGCTTAATCAGCTGCAAGTTCGGGGATGATTCACTCTGAAGAATGTAGCAAACAAATATCAGAAATCCCTGTAACAATTTCAAAACATTGTTAATAACAGAACTGTCCATGAAATTATAATAAATGGGATTAATTCAGTTTTACATTTGAAAAATCCATAAAACCATATTTAATTTTTTATGATTTTCTAACACTCGATATTTCAATAGTGGATTCATGCTACTCTAATCAACCTGGCTCAAGCATACGTTAAAAAAAGGTCTTTTCATGTTCTTTTGATGTTTAAGCTCAAAACATCTAAGTCATTGTCGCCCGTAATAAATTAATGCTACTATTAAAATATTTAGCTAGTAGCAATTGAAAGTAAAAATCATAGATGGTACAAAATATTATTTGAAACAATTAATTACTACATATCTTTCTCAGTCTAATATATTAAATTTATGCATTTTTCTTCACTAAGAATTTTCTTTTATAACTGTATATTATAATTATTTATTTAATTATAATAAATAATTAAATTTCACGAATTCTTTTTGACAACAGTTTCAGTAAGGTCACTTACTCATTTATTTTTCATTGTGAGTATATTTTTTGTTTAAACACTGTTATAAATACAGATTTTAATTTTTATATTGCTGTGATCTATACATTTAAATATTAAATAACACCAGCACTAGCATTTATGAAAACCGTACATGTATAAGTAAATAATATAATTGAAACCTGTCCACCAAGCTTGATGAGGTGCGCTTGGGGTTTCCTCAGGTCTTCATTATCACCCTACTACCCCGAGTTTCAATTCTTTATACCATCTCTTATTTAATTTAATTTTTTTATTTTTATATTTTATTATTATTTTATTTTAAGTTTATAATTATATATAATTTCAATTTTTATTCATTATCTGAATTGTGAAACAGTTAATTTTTATAAAAAAAACAAAATTAAAGGTAATTGTCAAAACCCTACAAAATAAAAAAGAAGCAACCAAATCGGTTGAGTAGTTCCCGAGAAAATCTTGGCACAGACAGAGCAATGGCTAAAAATTTGTTTTTCGTAATCAGGGGGCTCTGAAACATATAGATCCGTCAAAAACCGCATATTGGAAATTTGACCCGATTGCAATACTTTTCTTACTTAGTATAGGTAGGAAAGTAATAAAATAACCTAAAGATAAGTAAATCAAAAAACATAAAAACACAGTCATACCTATATACAATTGGGCAGGGAACCCCGAGCCAGGCTTCTGCCCCAACTATAGAAGGAAAAGCAGGACTCTATGAGATCCGCATCACTGGTGCTAAAGCCAGTGGAGTTTGAGCGAGAGCACTATAGCCACATACACTCATGTCTTGAGTGGAGAATCTGGCCATTGCCAGAACTCCAAGATATATACTACAAAAGATATCTGGCCACTGCCACTTCAACCTTCGAGGAGGATTGTAGGGATGAATGGAACTAGATAGGGATTGTGCTAGGGGATTTGGATGATTTATAAGGTTCTGATGGAATCTGGGAAATTTTTCAATAATATACACACAATGGAAGCACCAAAAGCTATTCTGCAAATAAAGTTGTAAAATATAATAGACTGTCAATGGTATAAAAAACTTGATCTTATATGAACACATAAAACAGTCTTAAATACCTAATAAATAATAAAATTAATTCTGTTTATTATTCTATTTCAGCAAGCCAACTAGCTGAAGAAGATAGTCACATTATATTAATAATAGACCTTAATACTATACCAACACTGGATATTTCTGTAGAAAAAGAAGATTGTCCAAAACAAATTTCTTTTAACTCGAAGCCAACAACAGTAATCGTAGAATGTTTAAAAGAAAACGGACGATCTCTGATATTTATCAGAATGTAAGTGAATATACAGCCAAACGAACATATAATTATGAACAATTACATGAAATAAATGAAGCTGTCTTAAAGTCAAATCTATATAAATATAAATATGAACAAGAAAAAAGAGTTAAATCGTGTTAAATTTGAAAAGGAAACAGGATTAGTTCATATAAAATTAGAACAAGAAAAAGAATTAGGTCATATAAAATTGGAGTTCGAAAAGGAGGTGAATTTGCTTAAAATACAGCAAGAAAAAATAAAGCTAATGTTTGAAGAAAAAAAATTAAAAGTAGAAATATTAAAAGCAAAAGCTTTGCAAGAAAAAAATAAAATAAAAAATAATCTGCTCCCAACCTTTTTTTATTATATATTTTTACAATTAAAAATATGTTTTAGTTTTCAGAAGTCTCACCTCACTGAAGGTATTTATATGAGTGTAGTCACTATTTAAGTTTCTAGTATCAGTTTCGTAATTTATTGATTTTTCTATATTTTTGGCAATATGGATTGCTTCTCTTTTTCTGTGTGTTTAATTATGCTTATAATTTTTTTTCATTATCAAAATCAAAGCTATGGTTTTTTATTATACTGTGTTGTGAGAGGGTTGTAGTATTTATGTTGATTGATTCTTGTTTTTTGGAGGTCTTTCATACAGAGATGGGCAAATGCTACTCTTGAGTACCGAATATTTTACTCAAATCGAATTACTATTGGGAATTCAATAACTACTTCAGTTAATTGTTCGACATCAACTGAAGTAGTAATTAAATTCTTTGGTTCTCTAAAAAGGTTAGTATTTGAGTAAAATACTTAGTACTCATTACTCAGAGTAGCATTTGGCCATCTTTGCTCTCTTACGTATGATTAGTTACAATGTTTACATTCTATTTCATAAATGGTTTTCTAAGTTATTGTATATTACTAGTTTTATACTGTTGTGGTGATCAGTGCTTTTTTAATTTTATTTGCCAAATTTGGAATATATTATACTTTATGATATTTATTATGTTGTATTTTATTTGTGATTTCTATTGTATCTTTTATTTTATTTATCTTTATTATTTTGTCTATAAAAATCTGTTATTAATGTTTGATTTTTTTTTTTTCTATTTTTATTGATTGTATAATTGTTTCTAGGTCAGATATAATTTAACTATTTCTTCATCTTTATTATTGAAAATTAAAATTGTCTCCTAATGTTAGGAGATTATTTATGTTAATAGGTATGTTTTTATTTGTTTTGTTTAATGTTTTTAATTGTTTTGTTTGTTTTAAGTTTACTATTTCCAATGGATGCATATAATTCCTTTTATATTTGTAACTATGTGATTTCTTTTAACATTTTTGGCATTAATTGAGGTTAATTTGGTGTGATCTTCTATATCAAATAAATTACTGATTTTTATTTTATTAATGTCAGTTTTTTTTTTTTTTATTCTATTTACCTTGATGTTAAGATTTTCTTTTTGATCATTTTCCAATGTATTCATTTATTAAATGATTTATATTTGAGTTCTTCTTATTCTAAAGATTTTCTATTTTTTTATTTACTATCCAATAGGTTTGTTTTATTTATAGGTCTATAATTTTATTGGCTAATTTTCTAAAATAATTACGATTATTCGTATTTATTAAAAATAAATTATCAAGGGTTTGTATCTTATAATATATATGGGGGAATTTTATTTTATATTTTATGTTGTTTAAGAAAGAAGAACATTACATCAGGTAAAATAAAAATGAATTGTACAAGTATATAGTATAGTATATTGTTATATTAAAAAAAAATTGTAACAAATCTTAAGTTGGTCTAACAGTTTTTATAATAGTCTCAGAGGATGGATAAAGATCACAAAACGTTAGAGAAATGAAATAAATATGATTACATGGAAGGAAGAAACAAATTTTCATAGAAATAATACCTACATATTTAATGAAAGTTTTGAATACACCTTAGGCAATTTCATTTTTTCTTTTTGACTGATAATGTACTAGCATAGTTAATATAAAATTAATGATAAAATACTTTTATAATGGTGGAGATTACTATTCAGAGCCATAGTAAATGGTAATAGTAAAGTGCTTTATGAAATAATTGACTTACAGAATGTATTTATTAACTTTTTACCTCAGATAGCCACATCGATCCAACCAGAAATAAGGTATGCACATTTGTACACAAATAAATTCATAAGACATATACACTGCAAATCTTTTACTAAACTAAAACAAGAAATATTGTTAAGGAAGTAAAAATAAATTGATATATTCCTTGTCAATTTGAAAAATTGGTATTAATCAATGGTCTATGGGTAGGGATATTATTATCAGCTGTAATTTATGGAGGGAAAGTAGAATCTTGAAAATCATCTTCAGTCTCTAATGCAATATTGTGCAAGACCACAACAGCAACAACATTTAGTGGTTTTCAGGCTTCATTCTTATTCAATTGACAAGGCAAGGGGATCTTCTTTTCATCACACCAAACACTCTCTCATTTGGTATTTCTTGTTTTTATGTGAGCAGCATTATATTCTTCTTCGGCTGCATTGCTGGGATTTAAAATGGGAGTAAGTCATTTTTATATTATATTTGTTTATTTAGAAATATTACATTCTGTCACATCAAGGACATTTATAATAGTGTTCAGAGAAAGCACACTCACACTCTATTTACAATAAAAAAAAAAAAAAAAATACAGAAACTTAATAATAATAAATACAATAAAATAAAATAAAAATAAATACAATAAAATAAAATAAATGTATATAAACAAAAGAACTAACCTAATCATACACACTCGGGCTTGAGTGGAGGATCTGGCCATTGCCAAAACTCCAATAGATGCTTATTTACAAAAGGTCTCTGGGCCACTGCCGCTTCAACCTTCGAGGAGGATTGTAAGGATGGGTGGTGCTGGATAGAGATTGTGCAAGGGGATTTGGATGATAGGTAAGGTTCTGGTGAAATTTGGAGAATTTTTCTGGAATAAGGTCTAGGACAAATGGGATATTAAGGTCATGGTGTAGGATTTTGTTATTTACATAGAACGGAGCATCAACTATTGTTCGAAGGACTTTAGATTGAAAGGATTGAATACGTTTGATGTTAGAAGCTTTTGCTGTCCCCCACAGTTCAAGTCCGTATGTCCATATAGGTTTCAGTATTGTCTTGTAGATAAGTAATTTGTTTTCAATAGAAAGTTTGGATTTTCTGTTTAGTAGTCTGTATAGCTGGCCGCATCGTCGGTTGAGTTCTTGTCTTTTGAGTCTAGTATGTGGGTTCCACGTTAGACTTTGGTCTAAATGAAAGCCAAGATACCGGACTGTATCTGAGTAAGGAAGCTGGATGGAATTAAAGTGTACTGGTGGACAGGAACTGCGTCTGAGTGTAAAGGTAATATGTTGGCATTTAGATTCATTAACTTTAATGCGCCAGTTATTACAGCAGTGTTCAATCAAGGTGAGGTGGTTTTGGAGATTTAAGGATGCTATGTTGGGATCTGAGTCGGATGATAGAATGGCGGTGTCATCAGCAAAAGTTGCCATGAAGGTATCGGGATGGACAGGGATATCGGCGGTAAAGAGGATGTAAAGGACGGGACCCAATACGCTACCTTGAGGAACACCTGCCTCAATTGGATAGCAATGCGAAAATTCAGTACCGCAACGAACTCGGAAGGTATGATCTGAGAGGTAGGAACGGAGAACAAGGTACAAGGACTGAGGAAGATAATTTTTCAGCTTGGAAAGAAGCCCGGCGTGCCATACCCGGTCGAAAGCTTGAGCTATGTCCAGAAATGCACCCGAGAATATTGCTTGCTTTCCAATGCTGCGGAAATATGATCAACCACTCGGAGTCCTTGTTGGACTGTAGAGTGTTGTGAACGAAATCCGAACTGATGGGAAGGAAGAGTTTGGGATTCTATAAAGGGTAGGATGCGTTTCAGGAGGATCTTTTCAAAGATTTTTGAGAGAATCGGAAGAAGGCTAATTGGTCTGTAGGACGTTGAGGTGTTGGGAGGTTTGCCTGGTTTCGGAAACAGGATAATAGTGGAATGTTTCCACAACAAAAGAGGAAAGTGGGTGGTTCGTAGGATGCTATTGTATATGTATGTAAGGAATATGACAGCTTTAGGAGGGAGTTGTCTAAGGATCTGAGAGGTAAGGAGGTCGTATCCAGGTGATTTACGGGTAGGTAGTTTTTGTAAGAGGAATTTGACCTCAGAAGGATTAACTGCTTTAGGCGGTAAGGAGAGTGGGATGGGTGAATTAAGGAATTCCTCTACTGCTGACGTGTGGGTGGGACTGGATTCTGGATGAGAGGTGAATGTAAGGGAAAGGTGTTTGGCGAATTATTCGGCTCTATCTTCGTCAGATGCTGCCCAAGAGCCATCACCTCGACGGAGAGGATGTGATATATGATGGGGTTTTAGGATATGTTTGGTGGTCTTCCATAGGGAATTGTCATGAGAAGAGAGGGAAGTGAGGTAGGAGTTGAAGGATTGGGATCTGAAGGTGGCCAATTCTATCTTTAGTTTTTTGCAAAAGTAATTATAGGATTGGCGATCGGTGGGGTGTCTATTACGTTGCCATAATAATTTGGCACGGCGTTTGGTATGGATTAGGTCTATGAGGTGTTGAGGTAACTTATTTTTCTTAGGAGTTCTTTAGGAGTGGTTTGGAGAGGAAGCAGTTCAGATTGCTTGTTGGATAGTGGTGGTAAAAAAGTGTACGGTATTGTCAAGGTCCTCCTGATTCAAATCTTGATCGTAATGAGCTTGAATTAAATATTCGAATGTCATGTGCAGAGCCTGGCCAACGAGAAACAATATCAAGAATTTTTAAGTTTTCATCACACATTTGTTGAATGTTTAACGAAAACCATTCTTTTCTATTCTGAAAAAGTTCAGCATTATCCCCACCTGGAGACTAAATATAGGTGCAGTCGATTGCACCAATTACTCCAAGAAAATATCTTATTTTGTAAAAGTTTCTTACATTTCTGTTCATATCCCCATCTGTTGGAGGCATTTTAATGAAATATTTTGATTTTTTGGCAATTAATTTTGTTATATGAGGAATTATCGTACTACTCACTGTAGATTTATCTATATTAATATGGTCACCTTAAACTGTTTGAAAAGTTCCAGCAGCATAATACCTTAAAGTTATGAGTAACTGACATAAAGGTGTTACAGGCATATTTTTATTATTGTGAAACGCTATATGATTAATCTAAAAAATACCCATTAAATTAAGCACTGATTCTTTTGAAAACCTAAATGTTGATTTGAATTCAGATTCATCATAAAAATCAAAAGGATCATTTCTTATCCTGTACAATTTCTTTTTAGGAAGCAGATTGATAAGATTTAATAAGTCTTCATCCGATGATAAACTTTCTTCTGCAGAATGTTCTTCAGAAGAAATAAGATGAAATCATATTTGTAATCGTCTTGAAAAAGTTAAAAAACAAAAACACTACACTAATATTCTCAGAAGAAGCTAATATTAGTTTGTTGTTAAAAGTAACCGTATGTAAGGTTATATTTTAACACCATTTTAAGATTTAATCAAGGCCTGAGGTTGGATTAGTTTGTTGTGTTAACTTAACGCGGTGTCAAGACTTATATACATTGGTGTAACGAAAATTCTGTTAGCCAGTGTTAAACTAATCAAGATTAGTAAAATTAAAGTTAACAATGGTTGGTGCAACCGCCCTAAGGAATCTCCAAGAATTTTTGCAGTAGTTTTTTTATTTCTTTTTTTTTTTCACAAGATTTTACACATTTTAAATTTAAACGTGGAGGCCTTTAGGGATATAATAAAAAAAATTATCCTTCCACAATCATTAACATGTCAGTAATTTTTTCTATCAAGAAAAATAGTACTTACCAAAAATGCAGACAAGAAGCTAAAGATATAAATGCTGACCAAATTGGGCATATTAACAAAGAATACACTGGATATGGAAACCAAAACTGTCGCAGTAAATAGTGCTGATGTTCTCTTCATTAGACCAAACCTGTAAAATATAAATCTTAGTTAGATGACAATTTAATCTCTAGTTTATAATAGTTTAATTTAATAGTCTAGTCTTATTTGGAACCAAGGAACCAATAATCGTGTGGTGTACGGGGTGCACCATGCCTTTTTTGTGGTGATTAATTTTTTTTTGTTTGATTGATATCCGGACACTTTGATAGATTTGACAGCCTAAAAACCGAGGCTGGTACATTCCATACACCCACTTGAAGATTAAATGTTTTTTAACAAGTTACATCAAATGTACTATACAGTGAGGAAGTGTTATTTAACCATTTGAACCACAATTTAGCCTAATTATAATAGAGCCTTATAGTTACGTTTCAATCCTTTGATGAATGGAGCATTGAAATAATTATTGTTAGTAGTATGAACTTAATGTTAGCCTAGAAACCTCTATTGTAGGGATAATTAATTATATACCCTATAGAGGGATGGTTATAAATCCCATAGCATCTCTTGAACTAACAAAGAAAAATGAAGTCATTTATTTTTATAGTTTAAAGAGAATGTTTAAGTCGAGAATTGTTTCTTGTGATATCCTCTTAATGTGAATTTTTTTAAATCCAGAATTATTCTCATTATTTACGGTGGACTCATATAAGAGTCGAGACAAAATCTTCCTGATGCAACTCTTTCTCTTTAAATGACAGGGTGCTCAGTGGCCAATCCTTCTATCAAACTATCTCATGGCCTTCCCAGGAGGTAGTAGGTAATTTTTCTGTGGTTGAAGGTTACGGGCGTATTTTAACAATGCATTAAATAAAAATTCATAAGTGGTCAGTAGGGTGTGGTTAGCTAGGTGGTCAGTAGGGTTTGGTTAGTTAGGTGGTCAGTAGGGTGTGGTTAGTTAAGTGGTCAGTAGGGTGTGGTTAGTTAGGTGGTCAGTAGGGTGTGGTTAGTTAGGTGGTCAGTAGGGTGTGGTTAGTTAGGTGGTCAGTAGGGTGTGGTTAGCTAGGTGGTCAGTAGGGTTTGGTTAGTTAGGTGGTCAGTAGGGTGTGGTTAGTTAGATGGTCAGTAGGGTGTGGGGTAGGTCAGTGGTAGGGTACCAAGCTTCCAATGCTGAAGGTCTCAGGTTCAAATCCCGGCTCATGGCAGAAAAATTATTTATTCTGTTTTATTGCCTGTGGAGCGACCCTGTGTAGGTAGATCCTTCTGGGCACAGCCTCTATAAAGTGGTTACCTTTACTTAAAATAATTGGTTAAAAGGAAAAACCTGTCAAATCCTGTGATCTCTGTCAAATCACCTCCTTGCAAAACCGTAGAACAAGAAACAGTGCTTTTCCTAAATAGTAGTGAACCCAAGACCCTTCATGGGTTGTAGTGGTACAGATTCAGGTAGGGTGTGATTAATTATGTGGTTAGTAGAGGAGACGAAAAGTATTCTCTCCTCAAGGATGCTCCATCCTTCCTGCTCATTGTTGCTAAAAGGTTGCGGATATAAACACTAACACTGTAAACATATTTACTTATCATCAGTTAATTTTAAAAAGTCATGAAGTATATTTTTGATGGAGCTAAACTTTTACATACCTTTCTGAAATTACAAGTGATACAAAATCAGTAAATGGATCAAAATGACACAAACCATATTACAATCAAATATAGTTATATTATGTGCATGATGACCTGATCTCTCAAAGTACTCAGTGATTTAATTTTATAAAATAATAATTAATGAATTTTTTAATTATACTGTATATCTGTATCAGAGAGATAAACGAGACCATGTCTATTTTGTTATTAAATGATTTAATAACTAAGAAATCAATGTTAATAGTTCACAGTTATCGAAAATTGGCTTCCTCAACTAATACCAATATGTGACATGGTGTCCTTTACCTCCAAGATACAGATATAAATATAAATATGATAGTAATCAGTAAGATAAATAATCAGGGAATATGATTAATAAAATAGTGTGAATATGATAACCTATTTTAATATAATGAAAAAACGGTCCTATTAGTAGATAATACTCCAGGTGCTCATTTGTATTACCTGTGATTAATGACTTGATTTGATTTAGGCTTTTTTACAGCCTTCATGTAGTGAAGCCTTCGGAGGAGGCCAATGGACAACATCACAAAAAGGCAGATTATGCAAAGCATGGAGGCGATGGCAGTGTAGAACGAAGCAGAACCAATCGGAAGCCACCAAGAATTTTTGAACTTTGTCGCTGAGAAGGATTCAGCAGTTGCACTAATCAAACAAGGCAACAACGACACACCTGAAAAAATAATTGCTGCTAGTGATTCCCTCCTTTTTTTCTAGGGCTTTATGAGTTACCCCCGTTTTAAAAGGATTATTGATAATAAGAAGGATACATCATAAATTTAATATAAAATCAAAATTTCACTCCAATTGTAAGTAGCTTTTAGGAAGAGAGTCAGAGAATAAAAGTAATCAACCACACCTACTGGCAACAAAGTGCTTTCCGTAATTGATGTCTTATTGGCCTGTGGAATGGTTGAACCATGATGCTCCTCTAATTTTACCCATAGTAAGCAAATTCTTAAATCTAAATACAATAAGAGAAATGTTTAAATAAAGATTGTTTTTGTTTTCAGTAATTGTACATACACAATTCATATCTAATACCTCATTAATGCCTTATATGGAGATATCAAGTGGGAAAAAAAAGAAAAGCTTTTGACCAATGCCTTGAAATGTTATAACACCCCTCTGCACTTTAAAACTAAGTAATGGATAATAAGTGGAATTTAAATAAAAAATAATATAATCAGCGACAAGGACAACATCATTGGCATATAGTAGAAGCTGCTTCACAACCGGGCGCAGATGTCTTCTCCCCAGAAATGTCCTTTCTGTTCCACTTTTACAGATGGTCGCCACCTCATCCATATAAATTAGAAATAGCAGTGGGCTCAAACTATCTCCTGACGCCCCTTGCCATGTCAAAGCAACCGGACTCCAAACCGTTCAGCATTAAACTCTCTTTGGGTGTTGATAAATAGACTTCACAGCCTGAAGTTCCTCTAAGAACCTCCCATATTTCATACCTGGGAAACGTGTCAAATGCTGCTTTCAGATCAAGAAAAGCTAAGTACATGTTTTTATCCCGGTCCCAAGATTTCTGTAGAACATTTCTTAGGGAGAATATATGATCCTGAGCCTGGTCTAAACCCAGCTTGCTCTTCTCCAATAAGGTGTTCAACTAAGGGCCTTAATCATCCTTCCAGGACAGTCGTATAAAGCTTGTAGACCACTGGTAAGAGGCATATAGGATGATAGAGCATTCGGCCTGGGGCCCTTTCTTGTGAATGGGCATAATGACATTGTATTCCCAATCAGTTGAGATCCTCTTCTCGTCCCAGGCATTTGACAGAGTACTTAGTAGAGCTTTCACCATCTCGGGGCCACATTTTTTCACAAATTATGCCACTATATTATCTCGTCCTGATGCTTTCCCATTCTTCATTCTTGAGATAGCATTTCTATTTCATCTTCCTCGACTGATTGCCTCGTTCCATTGTCCTGCTGGGTTCACTGGGTACATATCATCTGCACCAAATTGCTTGGTGTAATATTTACGCCAGACTTCCAGAATGGCTTTATCCTCCATGATCACCTTCCCATTCTCATTCTTTACAATTCTATTGGGTTTACTTTTGAGTCCTCTTAAGGCTTTAATTTTCTTCCAGAATAGTTTAATATTCTCTGCATGATCTTGGTTGAGTTTCTCTCCGAATTCCTTCCACTATTTTTGCTTTGCTCTTCTTACAGCTTCCTTTGTCCTATTTCGAGCCATTACATATATTTGCTATTTATCTGATGATTTGTCTTGCCAGTAGTCCTCCCATGCAATTTTCTTTTTCCTTACTTACGCCCTAAGCTCTTCACTCCACCATTATGGAAGCTGCCTGCAGGATACTACTTTCTATAAAACCCCATATCTGATCTAGACTTGTGTCTGCATCAATTTCTTTGAGCCTTCTCTTTAATTCCTCTTCATATTTAGCTCTCTTCTAGGGATCCTGCAGCTTACCTACTTCTATCGTTTCATATGCGTTTGCCTTTATTCTGCGTTCCTTTAGCACCCGGGGGGTATCTGCTATAAGAAGTATATGGTTGCTTCCTATCTCTACACCTCTAATAACTTTCATATCTGTGAAGTGCCTCCTGATGTCACGGCTATAAATAAAATAGTCTATAACACTATTGGAGCTTCTCTCAGTGGCGGAGAAAGTTATTTTATGGATCCTCTTGTGAGGGAAAAATGAGTTTCCTAGAAGCAGATCATTCTCAATCAGAACTCATGTAAGCGCTGTCCACTTTCATTCTTAATGCACTCTCCACTCTGTGGGTCCATTACTCCATATGCCTTCAAGTAGTCACTACCTGTTCTAACATTGAGATCTCCCATTATTAAAATACTTTTATTGCTGTTCCTTGCTTTAACCACAGCTCACTCCAGGTCGCTATAGAAATGTTCCTTCTCCAGGGTATCAGAACTGTTTGTGGGGGCATAGACTTGGATTAGAGCCCATTCTCCAATCTGCAGATTTATATTTGCCGTGATAATGTGAGGGCTTACTTGTTCCCATTCTACCATCTTCGTGAATAGGTCTTCTTTTAATATATTATACGAGGTGTATGTATCCGAAACAGGAATTTTGTATAAATCTTTTTTTTTTAAATGTTGTCCATCACTAGCTATATATTTTCCTCATACCTCTGGCAATTTCTGAATTTCATACCAGAAAAAGTATTGCTCTTTTGTGGCAAAGCATTTTCATGAGAAATGAAGCACTGCAGAGGAAGCAGCATGAGTTAATATTTCCTAACTGAACGTCTCAATCATTTCCTTAGCTGCTTTAGCTGTGTGCGAGAGTGTATTATCATCAAGCAAAATCACTTCATTTTGTCTTTTTATGGTATTATGGTAATTTTTCACGCAATTCTCAATTCAAATCAATCATTTAAATTGTCTACAGCATTCGGTGTTAACAGTTTTTATAGTACCTCATTAAAGACCACGCTCTTCTGATCCCACCAAACAAACAGCATTATCTTCTTTCCATAGCAACTTGGCTTTGCAATCGATGCCGATGGTTCATCTGTAGTTACCCATGATCTTTGACACTTTGGATTCTCAAAATATATCCACTTTTCACCATCTGTCACAATTCGATGGAGAGATGACTTAAGCAGCATTTCGGAAGTCGTTTTCTGGTTTTCTATCTGTCTTCCATTTTTTTCATGTATAATACGACACTTGTAGTGTTGAGTTGAAAATCTTAGCCAGCTGTCAAAGAAACTAAATGGTGCCAATAATACAGTGTAATGGTAACTAAATTAACAACAAGAACTATCTAAGGACAAATTCCGGTTTCATATCTATACACCTGCTATATTCATATAACTTTTATCTATAAATATTAACCGAAACTGAATAATTTAAATACCTGTAGTTAAACCTAATACAGTAATTTTAGCATTCTTGGTGTTGTGAAGGAAAACTACTTCGGAGTAAATGACAAGGAGCTTTCCAATGTGTGATGACAAGGCAAAAAAGAACAAAAGCTCCAACAACATACTAATAAGCAGATTCATGTCCTGAAAAAAAAATCACAATACTAAACAAAAGTAATAGAATAAATTAAATAGGGTACATAAGAAATAAATAAATTTGATTATTCAATTTTCCTTTTTTCAACAAGAGAGAAAGACAAACACATTATTTATCAAGTGGTGCTGCCCGTGCACAGGGCGTCTCAGTTCTTAGTTAGTAGATTATTGACAAAATTTCCAACAAAAAATTTCATTTGATGCATGAGCCGATTTCGAAAGGAAAAGGAGTTAAGACCAATTTTGTGTTTTTCTGAAGTTAGTCAGGTTTTATATTGAATTAAAAGCATTTGCTGTTGAAGATAATTAAATTCTAACTACACCACCATAAAGTAGACAAAATTTTTCTGAGAAAACAGTGATTAAATTTTTATTAGAGCAATTCAAGAGCTCTATAAAAATATAAAGGGGGCTATAAAAATAGGAGACAGAGTGTCTAGAAGCTTCTTCATTAACAAAGGATTGAAACAGGGCTGCTGCCTTTCACCTCTGATTTTCAACATTTACATAGAACAAGCCCTTAAAAACTGGAAAAGATCGTGCTGTGGAATGGGTGTTCAAATCGGGAATGATGTCATCTACAATTTGCAGTTTGCCGATGATCAAGTCATAATCGCATCGGATCCGGATGATGTTAGCTATATGATGAGGAAGTTGCTAGACACATATTCCAGATGGGGTCTGAAAATCAGTGAAAGTAAAACAGAGTATATGGTTTTCAACGCTCCAAATTGCCCTGAAATTGATGACTGGACGCTAAATGTCAGCCAGCAGTTCAAGTACCTCGGATACTGGTTATCTTCAAAGGGTGGTAGTGAGGTTGATATCGAATATAAAATAAATAATAGGAAAAGAATAATAAGTTCGATAAATTCAACCCTATGGAGTAAAGAAATAAGATCAGAAGTCTGGACACTGACAAAAAAGATGGAAAATAAGTTGCTTTCCATGGAAATGGATTTCTGGAGAAGAAGCTGTGGCATATCCAGAATCGAGCGGATCCCAAACGCAGCTATTAGAGACAAGGTCGGATGTCAAAAGAACATCCTTCACCTGATCGGAACCGAACGGTTAAAGTGGTATGGCCACTTAATGCAGATGGATGAGAACCGCTGGCCATAGAAAATTTATAACTATATGCCACCTGAAAGAAGGAAGCGTGGAAGGCCAAAGAAGAAATGGACAGAGGACGTGGAGGAAAGCATGGCAGCCAGAGGGCTTCGTGAAGGAGATTGGATGGACAGGGAGCAGTGGCTTTTGGGTGTTGGGGATATGACTCCTTAAGTTGTATAAAACTCAAATAAAAAAAAAAAAAAATTATTATGGTGAATGATAGAAGGGTTTTTAAATTTACTAATGTCAATGATAGAAGGGTCTTTAAATTTACTAATGTCAATGATAAAAGGGACTTTGAGGAGGTCTATTATGTCACTGTACTGCTGTAGTAACAGTTTCCATACACGAGCAGCATATCTCTGTACAGTAGCCGTATCAGACCTCCTGAAAGTCTCTTTTATCATAGACCTTAATAAATTTAATCACTGTTTTCTCAGAAAAAAATTGTCTACTTTATGGTGGTGTAGTTAGAATTTAATTATCTTAAACAGTTATTGAGCAATTCCTTTTAATTCAATAAAAAACGTGACCACCTTAAGGAATACACAAAATTGGCCTTAACTCGTTTTCCGTTCGAAATTGGTCGATGTATCTAACCAACTTTTTTGTTGGGAATTTTGTCAAGAATCATTTCCCAAATTTTGGCCATTAGGAACTGAGACACCAAGTATGTTGAATTGCTATAATGATGCATTCTACTATATACCCACTACTATTACTATATTATATACCCACTACTATAACTATACTATATACTATATACCCAATATAATTAGAAAAATGATCGTTGACTACAAAAAACAAATAAATATTAAAATTACAATAGATGATAAACATTCTACTCGGGAGATGGCAAGGTAATGTTCCTGTTCCTTCCTCCAAAGTCGAAAAATTTAAATAAAATAGCAAAAAACAAACAAAATTGTAAAACATTTATTTAAAGTGACAGGCTGGTTGTTATTATTTCAACATTTTGAAAGGAACTAATTACAAAATAAAAATGTATTCTTCTGAACTTAAATTAATAGACACCCCCTTCGGTTCTGGGCTGGATAGGGACCAAGACCGATCAAGGTATAAAGTAAAATAAATAAATATATATATATATATATATATATATATATATATATATATATATATATATATTTTAATTAAAAAAAAAAAACCGACTACCGAAATTGGGTAATTTTATCCACACTAAGGGAATGTACTTCCATTTTTCCTGAAACATTTTGGTAGATTGATAAGGACGTTGACATCTACAGATAATTATGTGTGATTGCAGTGTTGAAATATAGAACTGAGAATAAAGGTATAAATTTAGATAATTATTTCTTATGAAATATGTTCTGAGATAAGATACATTATTAAATATCTTAGAAAAAAAGTTTTTTTAGTCTCAACAATTAAAAAAGTATATTTCAAATTTATAGAAATTTTTGCATCTTCAGGGGAAAAAAAATAGAGACCATATCTTTCCTCCTAATTGTCCGATTTTAACGCATTTTTTTTAGGAATTCCTTAAACTTTTAAAAAACCATATAAACATCCACAAAAAAGTGTATACTTTTTGAGTTATTCGGAATTTAATTTTACCATCCCTCTTAACTTTTTTTCCAGCTTCTTTTCGTTGAAGTATGTTATATAGATAAATTTAAAGGGTATCGAGAAAATGACTTTAGCGAAGTTTCATTGAAATCGGTACATTCGTTCAGGCGCTACAGTCTAGAGCAACGCAGATTTTTCTGCATTTTTAATTTTTTCTCCTTTATTAACTTATCAAAGTCTTTCAAAAGTTATATGTAGCATTTTTTCGTAACACTGAATAATGTGAAATGATTAACTTTTTTAAATAAACCATATTAAAGGTACTTTAGAGGAAGTCATATATGAACATTGGGCATTTAAGCCCTGTAAAGTGACATCAACGGGGACAAGACCTATATGATATTAAAGACCACTTAATTATACATTGATAAACCGAGTTTAATCAAAACCGTTAAAGCCGTTTTTGAAAAATTGTAAAAATGTGTTTCAGCGTTCATATAAAGTGACACTTCCGGTTAGCTGATTTTAACGAAAAAGTTGCTGTCACATCCGGCTCATATATAAACCTTAAATACTTAATATCAGATTTGTACTACTTTTCGTTTATGAGCTAGACTGTTAAAACATACACACACACACACACACAGACCATTTTGCGACACTTGGTTATTTGGACTCAGGGGACCTCAAAACATGTATTTCCGTTGAAAACTGAGATTCGAAAATTTTCACGATTGCAATACTTACCCTTACTATATATTACATATATATGTAAATGAAAGTAAAAATGGTATTAATTGTTATACAGATGGCTATCTAACAGCCTATGGCTCAGGAGCAGGCATCTATCGTAAAGATAACAAAGAAACAGATTCTATACCACTTGACAGATATGGTTCAGTGTTTCAATCTAAGATATTTGCCATTATGCTCAAAACTTACTGCGAAGCAATGTGACTGGGAAAAATATTATAATCTATACCGACAGTCAGGCAGCAATAGGTGCTCTAAACAATTATTATGTGTATTTAAAGGATGTTAAGGAATGCAACACAGCACTTAACAAACTGACTGAACACAATAGAGTTACAGTGGAGTGAGTGCCAGGTCACTCTGGCATACCAGGCAACGAGGTGGCTGACGAACTAGCCAGATTGAGCTCAGATACCATTCCTGTAACTCCCGAGCCTGTCTGTGGAATCAGCCTCAGCACTGCCAAGGGCAGGATCAGGGAGATTTATGGGAACAAATTCGGTAATTACTGGACTGACGAGAAACAGCGACATTCGAAGCTGTTCCTCAAAGGTCCATGTGATAAAAGAAGGAAACTGCTACTGAGTATGGGCACAGCAGCTCTTAAAAAGCTTACAGCGATCTAAACAGGCCACTGTAAGTTAAACTACCATATGTTTAATCTCTGAGTGATGACGAATCCGCTATGCAGATTCTATCAAGAGGAGAATAAAACAGCCTTTCACATCGTTTGCTGATGTGATAGATTCACAAGGCTTAAGACTGAAACCATTTGGGGAGGAACGGATGGATCTCTCCAGTAGCTATGAGACGGTCAATCCAACTAGTCTACTAAGATATGTGGAAGCAGCAAAAATGACATTTTGAGAATAAACGAATAACTTAATTGGCGCACAATAGATCCTTCAAGGGTCGATGTGCTCTGAGCCAACAAATTATTAAAAAAAAAAAGTACATGGAGTACGGTCATCAGTCCGACGCCCGGTTGGTGTGAGTTGTCTCCAATATGCTGATGGGCCTCACATACCCGGGGGAGGGAGGGAGAGAAGGAATCTCTGGCAGCGTGGCTTGTCCTGGTGAACAGTCACCCATCCAAGTACTAACCACGCTTGACATTGCTTAATTTTTATTACCTATTGCAAGCACCTTAGCCTGCATGGCTACCCCAGCCAATTGATCAAAAATATATAATACATAATCCTTATATGCCTATGATGATTTTTGATATAGTCTGTAAAGTTGCCGAAGCTCTTGGCACAAATCTTGCCATTTTCGGATATTGTCTTTTCAACATTATTATCTGTTGGCACCACAATATCAATGACAAAGCCACTTTTTGTCCTCCGTTCAATTGACACTACGTACAGTTTATTATTTACCACCATGCGGTCTGTAATTATAGATCAATCCCAATATATGATTCTATTTTATTCTGAGAGTATCGGTTTGGGCTCATATCGATAATAAGGAACCTAGTCTGTTATCGTGTTATTTGATGAGGCCACGGCTTGATGAACTGTCTTAGCCAGGTTATTGTGCCTCATCAGGAATTCTTTACCAGCCAACACTAGACATCCCGATCATATATGCTGGACTAGATTATTATTAATCCAATTATTAGAGATATAAAGAGTTAATAGACCAATAATATTTATAATTATAACATTAAATGCTTACCTCAACTGGAACAACTCTAGAGACATGGACAAAGATGGCCATGACAGAACACATGGCCAGACAAAACTGAACCTTCAGAAGTTGAACAAATGTCCTGCGGCAGCTGAGCAGCAGAAGCGCGAGGAACGACTGAATGAGGCAGCAACCGCAACCCAGAGCCACAATCGTGGATGACCCCTCTCTATTGGGCTCATGTATCTTCTTCAATATTAAAACATAAATGTAAACGAGGAGAAACTGAATGAATATTCATTTTTGTTAAACATAACCTTTTTTTATGAACCGAATATCAGATTCAGAATATTTTATTATGCAACTCAAAGGCTAATTTCTTCATTATTATTATTAATTTTTTTTCATCTCTAAAACAAATTGATTCTACTTTTTAGGTTTGCTGATGTGTTAAGAAAAGATCTATACTGTAGCATAATTGAATAATTGATCTCAATCTATAAATAGCTTGATAGGTGATTGATATTAGAATATTTATAGTTTTATGCCAAATATATTTATTCACAACCTGATTTTAAATCATTAAACCAAAACTTATGAGAAATTTAAAAAAATAAATAAAAGAAAACTTAGCTACAAAATAGGCACAAATGCTGATTTTTATTGACAATGGCCTTAATGTCATTTGTTTAAATTTTTTATGTATACTTGGATCTTAGAGACTGATGTCATAATTTCATACTCAAAATTTTGAAAATCTGTTTTGAAATGTCGATGTTTTCTCAAACTGACTAATCCTAGAAAAAATCCTGGATTGATAAATAATTACCCTCTTACCCTTATTTAGCCACATATTGTATTTCTATAAGGCTTACATGAGATGAGATTCTGGTCAGCAGCGCTGCATAGACCCCCGACCTGTTGCAGATGCAGCGGCTAGGGTTCCCGGGAGCAGAGACTTGAAGACAGGACACCAAGTCCCATTCCAAGCCGATAGCATCAGCTCTGGCACAGCTAATGTTCCACTCATTGCTGTCCTCACGCTTGGATGGCAGCGTCATGTCCAGGCGGATGTCAAGGTCCCCGTGGGTGGAGATACTAATAACATTTGACTCTATCTCGTAGAGTAGTTCACTACCATCGCTGTCATTAAAAACTTGTAAGAAATGATCAAGAGTATAACACTAGAGACTTTCAAGAATATCATATGACATTGTTTTATTTACCTAAGAATCTGGGAAGACATCCTAGGCAAGAATTTAGATATATTTTGGTAACTGACAACGGCGACCCTCTTCGTTTGGTTTCCTTGGCTCGTTATGTTTACTCTGATTTTAGCAGTAGTTGTACGCCAACAAGGATAGCTGCAAATTTTTTGGGGGAAATATAGCCATTTGATACATTCTGCATTATAATAGAGTAAATTATATGAAAACAAATTTCAATATTACATCTCTTGTCATATTCAACAAAATTATACATTATAGAGTAAGACTAAAAATAAAAGAGCAAGAATCAATTTTATTGAATTGATTTAATTATTTGAACATCCTCATGAACACTAGTTGTATACAGGAAGCAGCCTGTTATCTGTGTACCTGTTGATCATTGGAGCATAAAACTGCTGCAAGATTTCATTGCCCAGCTTCCTCACATCAATGACCACCTCGGTGTAAAGTAAATAAGCCACTGTAACATTTAAATGACGAGCCCACATCAGAGACCATTTGTCAACGATGCTCTGAAGCTCTCTAACTTTCTAAAACATAATTTTTTTCGTATAGATGTTAAGAAACAAACGATTAAAAAAACTTCTGAACATGACTGAAAAACAGAACAAACTAGGTATTAAATTCACCTTTTACGGATTTGAGGTTTGAGAGAGAGACTAGTAACATAATATAGTTCTGATTTAGTTAATTAGACACATTTCTATTAGTTGTTTGTATACAGAAAGAATAAAAACTAAGGCTTAGCAAAAATTAAAAACAATTATTGCTCAGTAAAACTAAAGATGCTCTAATTAAAAACAATTATTGCTCAGTAAAACTAAGACTTAGCAAAAATTAAAAACAATTATTGCTCAGTAAAACTAAAGATGCTCTAATTTAGAATAGTTTCTTTTAGCTGACGCCCACAATGTGAGAAAATGAATTAGTAAAAATACAGCTTAATGGAACAAATGAATATAATATAAAATTATAACAATTGATATTTCTCAGTTAATAAGGAAATAATTATAAATATATAGTGCTGTATCTAAAGATATTACCTCAATGTGAATAAAAGAGTTAGGCTGAGACAGCAAAAGGTCCACGTTGGCATAGAATACCTTTGTGACATTAAGCACTTCCTCTGATGTAAAGGTAAGGTTAACAAATGTTGAGATATCAGACAGGAGGTCTAGAACTGGCTCCCCTTCGCCACGGTAAAGAGGCGTACGAGAACGGAGCCAGGAGTAAAGTTCTGATAATAACATCCAAAGGTTAGTTTTCATTGTCCCCCGACTAAGTACCTGAAACTGATAAACTATATTTTATAAGACACGTCACAAAAATTGAACAGAAAACAAAATATGGTGCATCATATAATTTTCGCTTACCACCTTACTTTGATTTATCGATATTTATGAATGGATAATCTCCTAGTTATTTAAAACAATTATTTTCCACATTACTTTCTCAGTAGTTTCATCTGATAAATATATACACTTTATATTCCACATCATCATCTTATATGATTGTATAATTTAGATATAAATTTCTCTAATGTCTTTAGCTTTTAATGTTTACAGTACTATTTATATTTCAGGAAATTTGTTTTCAACCTAAGAAAATATTTTTACTTTTACTTACCTATATATGTAATATATAGTAAGGGAAAGTATTGAGATCGTAAAAATTTTTGAATCTGAGTTTTCAATAGAAATACACATTTTGAGGTCTCCTGAGTCCAAATAACCAAGTCCCGCAAAATGTTCTGTGTATCTGTGAACAGTTTAGCTCAAAAACGAGAAGTCGTACAAAACTAATATTACGTATTCAAGATAGGTATATGACAGAGTTGTTACAGCAACATTTTCCTTAAAATCGGCCAACCGGAAGTGCCACTTTATATCAACGATGAAACACATTTTTACAATTTTCCAAAAACGGCTTTAACGATTTTAAGTAAACCCCGTGTATCATTGTATAATTAAGAGGTCTTTAATATCATTTAGGTCTTATCCCCATTGATGTCACTTTACAGGGCTTAAATGGCCAATGTTTATATACGTCTTCCTCTGAAGTACCTTTAATATAATTTATTCAAAAAAATTAACTCTCTTTTATTGACAACAGCTATAAAAAATGGCTAAATATGAAGTTTGAAAGAATAAGATAATTGGAAACTGGAGAAAAAAGCTTATCCAGGTTGAAAATGAATTTCCGGAAATAACTGTCAGAAGGTATATGTATTGTATATCATTGGAAAGCGGAGAATTTTAGAAAAAAATAATATCAAATAAATAAAGTTGTAGAAGGTAACGGAGAGTGAAGAAAAAAATATAAATAATAATTTCAGAAAACGAACTAAGACTGACAGAACTGATGAGAATAGAAAACTAAGACCCGACATGAACCGAACAGCAACAGTTATGAACCACACATTGCATTTCAAGAACCGAAAAACAATATTTCCAAGCTACAGCCAGCTCATAGTAAAACATCAACTATATAACAACATTGGAAGGATTAGTAGACCAAAAGTCACATTTGCTAATCGCATAACGGCCCTATAAAATAGGAAGTTTACACAGAACAATGGAGTGTTATATACTTTTCCCACTTGAACTTTCTCCCTACATTCAGTGAGGTACTTCATGAGATGAAGGTGTTGCAAGAAATTCTAAAGCTGCCTATGGTTACACCAATAAATGACCCAGAATACACACCTCAAGGCATCAGATCCTGCATGGATGAATACCAGTCAATAAAAAAAAAAATAGGAATATAAAATAAAATAAAATTGTCTTACTAAATGTAAACTTATAAATTTTGTTTGGATGTTTGAGCAAAAAAGTATTTAAAATACACCGAATCAAGCCAATGCCATTGTTTAAAATACTATTTCATTGTACTTGTGTAAAAGAAGAAGTGATTTATAAAAATATTTCATGGATATGTTTATAACCTTAAATACATTTACAGTAATTTAATAATTCTAGATATGGTATTATATTTAAATAATTAGGTATCTATTGGCCGTCTATCCCAAAAAATCATAAAGTAATCTTTTAGAAAATTAAATTAGTAAATAATTTGATGAATTATGAAATCCCAACATTATTCACTCACAATTAGTGTGACAACTTTTGACCTATCCATGGCAGGCAATAGTCCTACGATCCATAATCATTTATAGGTTAAATATTGAGATGTACTTTCAAAACTCTCTAGGCACATATGAACCTTTGGGTTGTCAGAATGACTAACTCCAACTTCAAAGTTCTTTATTATTAATTTTAGTGATGTTTCTAGTGGCAAAATTTATACCTGTATTCACAGTTCTATATTTCAACACAGCAACCACTTACTGTGGAATCAACTTACTATCTGTATAGATATAACTTTTCCAATTAGAAACATCACTAAAATGACATTACTCAAAGATGTTGAAATTGTAATTAGTCATTCTGTCAACTGAAAGGCAAAAAAGCAGATGGAGTAACTAGATTTTATTGCCTACTGTCGATATAATAAATAGACTTTTTGTAATTTTAATGGTCTTAATGTTTTGTTATATGTAAGCTTAAAGCTTTATTTCCATTTAAAATGCACCTCAAAAATTTTATAGTAGTCCAACATTGTAATGTCTATTTAAAGTAGAGCGGTAAGTGAAAGTTGTGTTGCGCGCACCAGATTTTTTTATTGCTTCTGATAATTTCAAACAAACAGAATTAAACATGCCTTATAGCAAGCCATTTTGAAAAATTGACATTTAAGCTCTGTTGAATAATAATTTAGTAATTTTCATTTTAAGTAATTACAAGCAAATAGTAGACCCGTGCGAAAAATTCGCACAGCATATTGTTAGGTGATCAAATGCCAAATTAATAAGAAAATAAAATAATGCAACGTATCATAGGATAAAGAAATCAATTGTTACTTTATCGATAAATATAATCGAAAAAGGAAACAGAAATTAATTTAAAACTTCTTGGCTAAAAATTGTTCAATTTCGACCATTTTTTTTTTTTTTTTTTTTTTGTAGGAAATTTAGTTTTTGGTACTTCTTGACTAGCAGGCCAGCACTGACTGCTATCTGCCAATGTTTATAACCTGAACACTGATAATTCTGATAACGCAGTGATAAGCCTTCTCCTACTTCCTATCTTTGTATTATTGAAAGTGTAAACAGATACAAAAACACATGTAATAACAAAAAAAAATACTTTTATTTTATGACACATATAATAATAAAAAAACACTTTAAGAAGATATGCACATATAAAACATCAAAATGAAATAATAAAAAAACTTTTGAAGAACATATATAGATATAAAAGATGAAAATGAAGTAATAAAAAAACATTTAAAGAACATATTTACATAGAAAAGAAAAAATATCAACACTATAAACAATATATTGTAATGTCAACGTTACATGGCATTTTAATAGTGGCGCAAAAGTGGTAACAGCACGAACTACGGGGAGGAAGTGCATGCGGATGGTGGGGGAAGCAAGCCTCATGTAAGAGAGAATGTGACAAGCTGTCAGGAGAGAAGGTGACGAACCGCCAAGAGAGAAGGTACTAGCCAGCAAGCCGCCAAGTGAAAAAGGAGTACTAGCCGGTTCGAGTGTTGATAGAGGCCACTAGTGGAGATTATTTTATGTTGGAAGAAAAAACACAGCAGAAATTAATTAAGTGGTACAGAAAACGGAACATTCATAAGTAAGAGATTATTTCGCTGATAGGCGTAAACATTTGGGTAAGTGCTAACAATGCCATTTATGTTGACAGAGTGATAGAGCCACAAAGTTTAGATCGGGACAAAATATTCTTGAAAACAATAATAAATTTTATATTTATAATTAGTGTATTTAGTAATTAGTAAATTATAGTTATTTAATGTTGAATGAGTGTTCAGTTGTCAGAACCCAACCTGAGAATTTATGTTATATGTTAAAATAAATAGTATATTGAAAAAGGAAACGGGTTGTTTGATTTTGGAGGGAGAGAGGAACGTTACAATATGTACAATTTATTTTCACTTTGTCTTATTTATTTTGGAAGGCAAAATTGTTTTATGCTATTTAAAATAGCGAGGAACGGGTCCTCTTCTCTGTGAACCTACCGCCACAAAAATTTGCAGAAATATGAATCGAGGTGTTGTCTGGCAGTTCCTCTATGTACTTTATTTCTCCACTTAGCTGAGCCCCATAATCGTTCTATGTATTGAGTATGAACCCCAGTTGATAGATCAACAAAATTATACCGGTGATTCACTTGGAAATGGTCATAGTTTGCTTCGTTCAGTTGTCGGGTGTTGAATCCTTTCCAACAGTCTGAATAAATGGCCGTTCCCTCTTCTATATTGTCTTTAATTGCTTGTAATAAGGTTGTTGCTTTTCTGTCATTTATTTTGACGATGAAACATTCATCTGTTTCTCGGCAAACTCCACCAAACATCCATTGCTGAGGTAAAACTCTCCCCACATGATTTTTTCGTTTAGAAAAAAGACTTTCGTCTACTTCAACCACTTTGCCAGGTCCTCCAAGTATCCCAACATTTTGAAAATATTGAATTGCCTGTTCTTCTGAAGCGGCAAATCTCATATTCTAAGAAGATCCATAATATGACGAAAATAAATGAAAAATAAACACAAAGGGGTCACAAACTAATAAAAAAAAGAAAAATAAACACAAACAGGCCAAAAGTAAAGAATTTAATAAGTGAACGTAATAAGGGAATAACTGAAAACTAAACAATGCAATAACTCAAAGGTTTGGAGGGATAAGAAGAGGGAGGTTATGTGACGTGAATAAAGTTTATTTTCTTTCATAACATGTTTGCCTAAATTTTCGGGGTGATTGGACAATTTGCCTGCCTGAAATAGAAGGAAGCCTTCAAAATTGGTGACTCAATCTTGGAATTTGGAGAAGAATTAATGATGAAATGGTTTGTCAATCAAAAGTACATTTTTTATACACGTAATTTTATATGGAACCAAACATTTATGTGCTGATAGGTAAACTCATTCATGCCAAAAACCCTATAATTAAAAAATAATGGCACAAATTCACAGATGGAAAATTCATCAAATTACGAGATTTGTAAAATGTTGACTAAGTGACTTTTTTCTTTTGTGATGAATTGACAATATGCTTTGGCAGCATTTGGTAGAACTAAGTTCAGGTCCACCTTAGTTATTCAAAGATTACATCTCTGAATATCCTTTAGTTAACCATCAAATTCTCTCACTCTTTAGATTTATACATTTTCTATTATTACTATAAATGTGAGGAGGTTAATTATTTCAAATAAACATTATTCATTTGTTTCCATTTTCCTTGTCTCTCCGAACAAAAAATAGAATAGAAATAGCACTATATATCCTAGAAATAGAAATAGAAATAGCACTATATATCCTACCACTTATTCTCTGATCTTCGTTTTTCTTCATTAGTGGTTTTCTAGGATTCTTCCTCGTCTTTTAAGCTATAAAGGGTGAGGGCAGGGGATTAATGCCAGAGATTAGTGGTGGTTAAAATGATCAATCTGCACTAATTCCTTCCATCCATATAGAAAGCTTCGTAGTACATGAGTAGGTAGCAGAGGAAAATCGTCCTCCATGATGATGTAGAGTCCTGTTTCTATCAGTAGTTTGACCCTTATTGTCTCAAAAAAAGTGCAATAAAATAGGGAGTTAATTTCCTTCCCATAGGCATGAAGCTCGGTGCCATGTTCCATAAAGTGAGAAATTAATATACAATAATAACAGAAGACCCATTTCGCTTCCAACCTTCCATAGACAGTAGGAAAGTAGTGAGCAATAATAAAATAAACAAAATTTAATGTACTTTATACCAGGAATACTAATCATAGAAAAACCTAATAACATTCTCATTGCATGTACATTTAAAAAAAATGCATTAACAATGTTTATGTCAATAACTAAAGTAATAGAAAAACAAATAGCAGTCAGAGAGGATAAAAATGAAAATGTTTTAAGTATAGGCAAACAACTTAAGAGAAAAGCCTATGCTGGCAGGTTAAGCTCAACAAAGGAGAAGCCTTCTCCCTTTAAATAACTTGAGACTTTTCAAATATGATTGTTGAATTAATGCATCTTATCTGGTAACACTACTCAGCTGTTGTAAATAAAGAAGGTTGGCTTGACAAGCTAACCTAGACTAGTAATCCTTTGTTCATTGTTGTGATGTTATATAAGAAAAGAATAGTTTTTTGTATGTTTGTGGAGTAGATGGTGTAAAAGTTTTTTTTATTAAAGGCTCATTTGTTACTGAATTGATTTCCTAATATTAAATATAATTATACCATGGTACTGGTACATTAGTGGGCAGGATCGGTACTTCTTCACTAGGAGGCCAGGACTGACTGCTATCTACCAATGTTTATAACCTAAACACAGATAATCCCAATAAGGCAGTGATAAGCCTTCTGGTAACTCCTATCTTCGTATTATATTCGTACTATTGAAAGTATAAACAAAAACAAAAAATAATGAGGATAACAAAAAAAAAACTTTTGTTTAACGACACATATATTAATGAAACAATAAAAAAACACTTAAAGAACATATGTACATATAAAAGAAAAAATATCAACACTATAAACAACATCTGTACAATTTATTTTCACTTCGTCTTATTTTTTTTGGTACGCAAAATAGTTTAATGCTATTAATAAGTGAATGTAATAAGGGAATAACAATGTGAAAAATAAACAATTTAATAACTGAAAGGTTTGGCAGGATAAGAAGAGGGAGGTTATGTGACATGATGTTAGATAACATAGATAAGAAGTGAGGTTTCTGCAGGCCTGCTAGTGAAGTAGTACTGCAGGATGAAACCTCCCTTGTTATCTATGTTATCTAATATTATATCACATAACCTCCCTCTTCTTATCTAGCCAAACCTTTCAGTTATTCACTTATTACATTCAGTTATTAAATTCTTTATTTTTGGCTCGTTTGTGTTTATTTTTCAATTATTCACTTATTAAATTCTTTTTTTTTTTTGGCTCATTTGTGTTATTTTCGTCAAATTGTAAATCTTGTTATATTCTGGGAATTACTGTCTTCAAAAGAACAGGCCATTGAATATTTTCAAAACATTGGGATACTTGCAAATGTGAAATTTGTGTTTATCGTTTATAGTGCTTATATTTTTTTCTTTTATATATACATATGTTCTTTAAGTGTTTTTTTATTATTTCATTTTCATCTTTTATATATACATATGTCGTTTAAGTGTTTTTTTTTTATTATTTCATTTCTTTTATTATTACATTTATTTTTGCCAATTTCATGCCTTATATATGTATATACCTTATACATGTTAAATTAAAGTTTAAAGTGTTTTCTGATTGTTGTGGGAATTACCACATTTCTTACACACAAGCAAGCACGCACACACAAACACACAAAGATATATCAGATATATATTAATTTAATACATATGTCGTAAAATAAAAGTATTTTTTATTACTACATTTGTTTTTGTTTACAATTTCAATAATACAATAAATATAAATACGAAGATAGGAATTGCAAGAAGGCTTATCCCTGCATTATCAGAATTATCAGTGTTGAGGTTATAAACATTGGCAGATAGCAGTCCATCCCGCCTGGCTAATGGACCAGTACCATTTCCAAGGTTATGTTTAGTACCTATACCATTTCCAAGGTTATGTTTAGTACCTATACCATTTCCAAGGTTATGTTTAACTTTATGATTTGTTTATCATTTTTTTACCATGTGTACTACAAAAGTTATTATATAAAAATAAAAGGTTATTGTTAGGCTAAAAGGTTTTCCTTAAGTTGTTTGCCTATACATTGCCAAACGAAAAGATAATGATGGTATAAATAAGATAAATAATGTTTATATTTACTTGAGTCATAACCTGGTCGAAGTACTCGGAAACACATTTAGAATAGTCAATCTCCTCCCAGCGCGATTCTCTGGTGGTTACTGTGAGGCAGTATCTTGTGGAATAACCGATGTACCTAGCCCAAACCATACCGAAAAAACAAATAGTTATAAATAAAATACAATACAATTCTCTTAAGTTAGAGACAATACCTCTGTGTTCTCTGAAAACTCCTAATTCTGTATTACTTAACAGCTACTACAAATATTATATCACCTAATAGAAGATGAAATTGTTGCCAACCTTGATGGACATTCTGCCATTGCTAATGAACCAGGAGATGTAGGTTTCCAAAGTATTCCTAACTCTTCAGTTTCTTTACAAGAACCAGGAGCGAGTAAATCAATGTGAACAGTTTTTTCCCTCGTTGCACCTTTCGTCTGAGCATGGCAAGCATACGTAACACTTTTCTGAAAACATACTCCTTGTTTATTATTATAAATAATACTTAAGTACTTCAATTAAACAATTAAAAATATAAGAATATTGAGTTGTAGTCAGACCTCCATATTTTAGTTGAAAACTAATATATTGGTAAATACTTTTACCTTTAGAACGACTGATCCTCACCTTTCAAATTTCGAATTTATGTAGATTCAGAAATTCAATTAAAATTTCATAAGTTATTGATAAATTAGGTGAAGTATACAAAGAATAAAGCAATCACAATGCTCCAAAAAAATTTAACAAGACTAAAATCTATAAATATAAAGAAATACTATATACCATAGATGGTAGAATGATTGAAAAAGAATTGAAATGAACTCCTGAAAATATACAAATTCGAAATTTTTAAGACAAGCATAGGTGTCCCGAAATTTAACAATATATTATTTTAAACTAATTACATTTTTAATCAAACATTTAGGTTTGATTGCCATACTTTTACTTTCGTTTAATTCTACATGAAATATACAGTAGAGAAAATATTGTAATAGTAAAAAATTTCGAATCCAATTCCTTAATGGAATATATGAATATATGCTTTAAACAAAAAAACTTAAAGTGCTCTGAAATTAAAATGATGTAGGTAAGGTAGATTATGTCTGGGACATTAAAGCAATTTTTTGGCTAAAATCAACTTACCAGAAGTTCTCCTTAATATTATCATCAATTGTAGAATACAATAGAAAATAATTTTATTCTGGAACAAAGTTCTTTTGAATAACTTTAACTTAGAAAAATTAAAATATTACATCTGGCCTAAATAAAAAAATAAATAAATAAAAAGAAAGAGAAAAAAGTAAAGAAAACATTAGTTAAACATACTACATACAAAACAAAAAAATCTATATACAAAACACTTGAAACTATGACAAGGCACTTAAAACTATGTACAGTGGTAAAACATTAATATACACTTTTAGAAAAAATAAATAAAAAATATATTAAATTCTTCTTTAAAATAAACTGTTTCTGCAGAAAAAGAAAAGCCTAATCTCATAGTAAAAATTGTCTGAGCATTTAATGATGAATTATATGTAAATACATCATTATGAATAATATGTTATTACATCATAAAAGGTTAGCGGGTATCTGACTGTTTTTGTGACAGGAATTGGAATAGGAGGGTTTTTAATGTAGATATGGAGGGAGAATGGCGAATTTGGTAGGAAGGAAATTCCAGAAATCAACAGAGCGAGCAATAAAGGAGTTTTGAAATAAGACAACTCTGTGAGAAGGGATGTAAAGGTTGGATGGTCGAGGTCTTGTGGAAAGGGAATGGATTGAGGACTTGAATTGGGGAAGATGGTATGTGTAAGAAGCACGATGATTGTTGATGATTTGATAGACGAACGTACCTAAGAAATATCGTCTTCGAATGGAGGGGAAGAGCCACTTTAACTCAGTGTTGCGGTAAGAGACTTTGGGAATATCTAGGGACACAAATTACAAATCTTAAGCAGCTGTTCATTAGTCTTTTGTCTATCATGGAGCTCCACCGAGAGGCCATCATAGACCACATAGCTATAGTCAAAGTGGAGGAAGATGAGGGGGAAAACGAGAAGTCTACGTATATGCTGAGGTAGGAGATGACGGAAGCGATGGAATAGTTTGTGGGTAGAAACTGTCTGTCGGGAGATGTGAGAAATATGGTGATTCCAGGAGAGGATTTGATCAATGAAAATTCCTAAATTTTTAACAGAGGAGTTGAAGAAGATTGGCTGGTCATTAAAGTTTAGTATGGTTTTTTTTTTTTTAAACTGAAATCTATTTTTGGGAAATAAGAGTAGTAATATAGATGTATGGTATACAGTGGGAAAGCTTAAGAATAGTAGACTATTGGAGAGCTAAATATTTTTGAAAAAGACTGGAGTGGTGCGTGCAATACACAACTTTCACTTACCTCCCTACTTTGAGTAAAAATAGGTTTTTCATCATCTGATGTTTTAGGCTCAAAACGTCTAAGTCATTATCGCCCGTAAATAACCACCCCTAACCATTTCCTTTTATGGCTGGATATTTTAATTATAATAAATAATTAAGAGCCACGAATTCTTTTTAGTTCGACAAGAATGTCAGTAAGGAGGTCATTGATTCATTTATGTTTCATTGAGAGTATATTTTTTGTTTTAACATTGTTATATATACAGATTTTAATTTTTATATTGCTATAATCTATATATTTAAATATCAAATCATACCAGCACTAGCATTTATAAAAACCATTCATGTATAAGTAAATAATATAATCGGAACCCGTCCATCAAGCTAGGGTTTTCTCTCAGTTCTCGGCTCCTCATTATCACCCTATTAAGCCAAGCGAGAGCGAGTTTCAATTCTCAATCCCATCTCTCATTTCTCCTTTAGTTTACCATTTTTTTCATTTTGTGAATTGTGTAATAGTTAATTTAAAAATAAAAATAAAATTAAAGGTACTTTAGAGGAAGACATTTTTGAAAAATAGACATTTACGTCCTGTTAGAGAAAACCTATGAGGATAAAACCTACCTTATAATTAGGTAATTTATTATAACAACTAATTTATAATTAGATACGGACACCGAAAGCTACCAAAGTTGTAAAATATAAAACATCTGCCAAGAAAGGTCAGTATAGCTTCCTCACAGTTTTCATTGGCTAAAAAACATCTATATTATGAGGGCTAACATTTTCCGAATGAGAATAAAATCTCTAAGATAAATATTGTGAAAAATCTCTAGGAGAAGCCGTTTTCAGAAATTTAGTAATCTCTCAACATATAGGGGTTTGATATTCACGAGTTTTGTTCACTGAATAGTAAAATGTGAAAAGAGTTCTGCGTTTGTAGATTGCATATGCGATGATTCGTAATTTAAAAAAAATTCCTGTGTATACTGAACATTAATATTAACACTACTATTAATAGAAAAGACCGTATGTAAAAATTGAATGTTTTACTTACAGGCGAGCATAAGAACTAATTGTTTTTTTATGATTTATTAGTATGATTTCATATTTTACTGCTTATATCAATTGCAGATAGTTACATAAAACCTTTTGCACTAACAGTAGTGATAAATACTTAATAGATAAAATTCGAATTTTTGTTTGTTCGGAATTAACTCAAATATAAAAATATGTGTGAGTTCACACAACTTTGATATTTAAGGATGAAATATATACCTTTTATCCAACTTTGAGCCAAATCGAACGAGCTGTTACTGAAATATTGGTATATCTAAAAAAATACATTTGCACGTGTGTAAGCGGAAGTGCTAGATGGAATTTGATAAAATTAATATGGGACCATCTAGGCACCAACCCACACAATCCCTGAAAATTTTGTGAAAATCTGATGAACTGTACTAGGTGATATGCCTGTCACACCAATTTGACTACAGACGGACAGACAGACACCCAACCAAATTTGATCCTTGATGTCTGAAACATAAAACTAAGTGGAAATTTTCGATTCTGAGCACATAATTTTTTTTAACCTCTCGCGAGAATACTACCTTCTGTAGTGAAGAAGCAATACAGGCTGTCAATGATAAAAAAATTCTAATCTTATATTAAAGAACAATAATTGTTCATTAATATAATGAGTTTAATCAAATCTTTGAGAAAATTGTAAAAATGTTTTAAATCGATAACATAAAGTACCACTTTTGGTTTGCAAATTTCGATGAAAATGTTTCTGTAACATCCCAGGTATATAAAAACTTTAAATAGGCAATTTCAGTTTCATACAACTTTTATTTTTTGAGCTAGGATGTTCATATACATACACACAGACACAGAACATTTTGTGGGACTTGGTTATTTGGACTAAGGAATTTCAAAATGCGAATTTCCGATAAAACTCAGATTCAAAAAGTTTCACGATTGCAATACTTACCCTTACTGTATATTACATGTATGAGTAAGTGAAAGTAATACTATATACTACATATATAGGTAAGTGAAAGTTATAATTAACTTGTAAAGTCACAGAAGATTATGGAAAGTGATAAAAAAACTAATGTTTCCATAAAAGATAAATGGAATTTCAAGAGAAACTTAAAAAATCTATTATTCAGCTTGACAAACCAAAAATAAATGCTGCATAAGCTCATTGTAATGTATAGTAATTGAGTAAGAATAAAAGATAAAAAAAAAAAACTATAAAAAATAATGAAAGATAAATGAACGGTAATGCAGACTTACCTGAATATTCTTGATTCGTAAGATAGAGCCCCACGGCTTAAGATCTTCCCAAACTTCTGAGGCAGGATTCAGTGGAAACAAATTTTTGTCTCGAGTCCAAGAATAAGAAACCTTCTGGTTCGTAGAGACACAAATGAGATCAATATTATCTCCCTAACAAAAATGTAACATTTAGGGCACAAAGTGGACATATACACTAAAGATGAGTTTTAGAAACAAATAAATTGCAAGCTATTAGATTGATACAAAAATGGTGCATTTTTTTAAATATTTTTTGAAAATAAACCATACAGAGAACATAAGGAGTTCAGAAAGCATACGTCATCATATTATAATATAATAATGTGACATAGAGAACATAAGGAATTCAGAAGGCATAAGTGTTGGTGAAGAAAGACTGATTTAACAACAGGAAGCTATTCTAACATCATTTACTTTGCTTTGATCATAATATTGATTGACATCAACATCAAATCTACTAAGCTTTTTAGGCCATGGTACAGGCCCCTTTTTATCGAATTATTAACATCCCCCTGAAACTTCGTAAATGGTTTCATCTCATTGGAAATGTGGAGATTTTATGATCAAATTATCTTACGATCCAAGAAGAAAGCAAATGAGTATTTACGAGTTCTTAGTAGCTAATTAAACAGACAAAGTGCCCCTCTCCAGATTGAAAACAGCCCAATTCCAAGAGTTTCCGTAAATAAAATAGTTGTAGGTTACGATGAGATGAAACTATTTACGAAGTTTTAGACGGATGTTAATAATTCAATGAAAAGGGATCTGTACCACAGACTACTTGTACCTAGTACAGTAATCAAAAAAAGTCTGCCAAGTAAGATCAATATAGCTTCCTCACCGTTTTCATTTGTTCTTAAATTAAATTAAATTTAAAAGGTCTAAAAATTTTCTTATCAGAATAAAATCTCTGGAAGAAGACGTTTTCGAAAATTCAGTAATCCCTCAACATATACAGGCTTGATATCAACGAGTTTTGTTTATCAGCAAATACTAAAATGCGAAAAAGTTCCGCATTTGCAGATTGCATATTTGATAATCCATAATTGAAAAAAAGGAAATTAAAAACAGTGCATACTGAATATGTATCTCACTACTGTTAGTGCAAATGACGTATGTAAAAATTGAGTGTTTTACAGGAGAGCATAAAAACTAATTATTTATTTATGATTTATTAGTATATCATGGGTGATAAATATTCAGGACGCAGTCCATAAAATTTTTTTTTTAATTTTTTATTTGTGCCGTTTCATCCCAAACATGTGGGTCATCTTCAGGGCTGAAAATTTTAAAATACAATCAGAGATATAATATTATATGACTGATAATGGTAAATAATAAACTATATTGATTTGATTGTACATGAATCTTAACTATTATTACAATACACAATATTAAAAATGAAATATGTAAAAATTTATACAAACTAAAAATAATATATATAATCTATTTATAAAAATTTGTAATATTTTCTCTAACTAACCATGGTTCGAGCACTGAATGCTTTCAAGTACTGACATATTTGGTAGATAAGTGGAGAGGACAAGGAAGGATTTCCCAGTTGTCCTTTTTCAGAGAGCAAAAAGTAGGTAAACATAGTCAGAGAGAGGGAGGGAGGTAACATTTCTGTTAATATAATGTACATAATTTGCTGACTAAATATTTTAGATGATAACAAGATTTGCGTTGTTTCTTAAGGTTACAAAATTGTGAATATTGGCTAGTAATGAAATGAACATAAGCAAGAGGTGTCAATCAATATAAATATAACATATTTTGATTAAATGTATACAACGGTTAGCCAAATTATATTTATAATAAAGACAATTGTAATGGATTGAAAACATACGTAGGACAATATATTATACAGTATTTTAAATTAATTAACGACCTTTTTTTAATCCTTAACCCCCAGGCTATTCCAAACATACTTTCTGCATTCAACTCATACCACCCTCGACTCCGTTTTACCATTGAAATAGAATCAAGAATCAAATAATTCCGTCTCATTTCTTGATCTCCTGATTTCCAGAAATAATGATAATACATTATCCATCAATTGGTACACCAAACCTACCTACTCCGTCTCCTAAACTTTTTTACCCAACACCCTTACCAACAAAAAATCAGTGCAGCTAAACACCTGCAGTCTAACATTAACCGACTTGCAATTCCACGACCATAACCGAACCAATCTTCACAAGATCCTGAAATCCAATGCCTTTTCTGATGGCATTATAAAAAACCTAATTAAAAATCAATCCAAACCTCATCTTCACCAATCTCTCACAAGCTGCTCTCAATCTTCCACCACGATTCAACAATACAGATCTTTTCCATACATCCCAGCCCTATCTCAAAAAAAACTTCAAAATTCTCCCATCTACAAATAGTTTTCAAAAATAACAATAAATTAAGAAATCTATACGCCAAACTCAAAGATCCTGTTCCACTCCTACAACAATCAAATATTATACACCATATCACTTGCTCTAGCCCAAACTGCAATTTTTCTTATATAGGAGAAACCAAAAACTATTTTAAAAACGGATATATCAACATAAATACAGCATCTCCACACAAAAACTGTTCGCCTCGAAACTTGCCGAACACACCATAACCCTCAACCACACATTTGATTTTGAAAACCCAACCATACTTGCCACAGTACCCAATCACCAAAAATGACTACTCTCTGAAGCTATATATATTCATCAATTTGGAAAAAAATTATCCGGTAAACCACAAAGTAGACAAAGAAAAGATCTGCAACACATATTCGAATACATATACGAATATATACAAATACACATATACGAAGATCGGCTAAACAATACAATTAAAATTAATTTTTTGAATAAAACATAAAATTTTATAACCCCATAACAATATTGCAATAACCTAACTCCCACTACAAATGATCAGTACCTTCCACATTTCACAGCCATTATATTGTTAACAATCATTTATATTAATTTTAATTATTAAATGGAATTCAATGAAATTAATACGAAGTAATTTCTATACTGTTATCCAAATTTCCTTCAAGTTTGTGTCAAATTAAATGTGCTGTTTTCAAACTATAGCCATATCAAATAACACATTTCCTGATCTGAAAGTGGAAGAATATTTTTTTTAGTATTAGATAGAATTTGATAAAAGTTAGACCTATCTTATTTTACGTTTACCAATCCCTAAATTCCCTCCATATTTGAGCCAAATGGAACTTACGGTTTTAGAGATATAGTATCAAGGAAAACATGTTTGCGCATATATAAGAGAAAGCAATGGACATAATTCAATAAAATTGATCCTGCATTATTTTTTCACAAATACCTATTTTTTACCAACTTTGAGCCAAATCGAAATAGCCATTTCTGAAATATTGGCATATCTACAAAAATACGCTTGCACGTGTTTAAGCAAAAGTGCTGGTTAGAATTTAATGAAATTGATATGGGACCATCTAGAAACTAACCTGCACAATTCCTGAAAATTTCATGAAAATCGGATAAAGGGTAGTAGGTGATGTGCCCGTTACATCGATTTTACAGGCAGATGACGAACCAAATTTAATATCTGATGTCTGAAACGTAAAATGCGAGTGGAAATTTTCGATTCTGAGCACATAATTTTTTTTAACCTCTCGCATGAATACAATGCTTCCCTACCTTTGGTAGTGAGGAAGCAAAAGAAGAAAATAATATTTTAGGCATTGCTAGCCAAAAACAAAAAAAATATATTTTTAAGAAAGCCAAGAAATAAGACTCATTTAGTAACCAAAAAATATTTTTAAGCTAAGAAAAATTGCAATTTTGCATAATAATGGAACATATACATCATTGATGGATGTTAATATATACAAATTCACTTTAATTTTATTGAATTAATTAAAAAAGAACTAATTCCTTTTTTTATAAAAAAAAAAAAAAAAAAAAAAAAAAAGGATGCTTTCTCTCTGGAATAGTAATATGATTCACAACATAAATACACGGGTTAAATTCCTCAGATCACTCAAGATATTTTTCTATATTTGAGAAGAGATAAACTCACTTTCAGAAGGAAATGAGTCATTAATTTAAGTCATAGCCTGACCAATAAAACCAAAATGGAGGTTGTGAAAAATTATCTCTAGTTGCCAAATACTATCATTGTTAATCAAATCCATAATCAAATCTTATCTTGGAACAGATGTTAACACTTTGTAAGCTAATACAGCATTAGATTCAATAGTCTTATTTACAAACAACTTGAAAAGAAAACTGCGTATGATAATTATTTATTTTATTTGAATCAAAAATGGTCACCAACTGTAAAAAAACATTTCAGTTGAATTGAGTTTCAAACAGAATGTTACATGCTATAAGACCAAATATTAAAATATCGAACCCATACTTTTTTCACCGAGGCAGCCATTGGTGAAACCAAAATGTCTGGTGGTGCTTGTACTTCAAGATAAAGTGATTTGCACTCTTGCATTCCCCAATCTGTAACCTGGCAAGTGTACATTCCTTCGTCTACAACTTTTGCAGCATCTATACCTAGAATTGCTGTGTATTCTTCCCTGGAGTTTTTAGGAAGAATATGCATCCACAAACCTCTAAAATAAAATTCAATAAAAAAATATTTTGATTAGATACAGCATAATGTTGTATGAAAATAAAAAACTATTTCTACAACACTTTATTAACTATTTCTAATACTGCGCAAACATACTTTATACTTATTAGTTATACTTTATTATTGAGATTACTATAATTAAAGATTATCAGAAAAAAAAGTGACTTACAAAACAAAACGTTAAGTTAAGGTTTTCATTATACAAACCGGCTTATGGCTCAAAATTGTGATCATAAAGAGAAAGAATAAAATGGTGAAACAAGTGTATTAATAAACAGGTAATGTAAAATAAAAATAATAGATGAAATTTCTGAAATTTTTATTCTGTGACAGTGATTACCTGTTCGTTCTCAGCAGTGAGAGCTCTTTTTTAAAACCTTTCATTTATTTGTATCTTATTTTATTTTCAGAATTTTACAAACAATTAATTGTTAATCTTTTCTATTCAATATTATATCACTTGCTAGTACTTATTGATTAAAAACAAAAAAATATCTCAATATGATAAAAATTAAAAATTTTTTAATGTCCTAATTTAAGTTTAAATAACTTTTCACTTATTTCTCATATATACATATTTGTATATATTTAATATAAAAGAGCAGAAAGAAAATACAACAAAAATTAATTTTTAGGGTGAAGTTGTAAGATTCAAAAGACAAAGCTTAGAATTATTAAAATATAGGTAAAGAATTAAACCCGTCACCCTAGGGTGTGTGTCTGGAGTGATATGGAGAGTCTGGATATGTTCTGGAGTGATATGGAGAGTCTGGATATGTTGTGGAGTGATATAAAAATCTTGGAGAGACCCACTGCCTCTAACTAGAGGCGTACTTCTTGAGCTGTTGATGTGAAGTGTATTTTGCAGCTAGGAACAACAAACTTATTCTAATGTGGATCTAAGGAGATGAAGAGTAGAAGGTCCTGAAACAGCTGATGAGTTAGCAAGGGCTATAACTAGCAGACCTAGTTCTACCAGGAAAAAATCTGGAAAAAAGGGACTCAAAATCTGGAGTGCAACAATCCAAAGTTTCCATGGATTTGTCAAAGGAAAAGGGCAATTTTACCTGAAATTTACAAAAAAAGAAAAGAGTCCACCATCACAGATTCCTCCTAACAGGCCACGGTCCACTAAAATATCATTTCAAGAAGACAAAATTAGTGAAAGATTCCACCTGCCACCTCTGCCTAAATGCAAAAAGTTTGAACATGTATTATGAGAATATGAAGAGTTTGGCTTCTACTGACTGCAGTATCTAAAAGAGATATTAATTACACCTAAAGATATAACTGAATAAATATCTTAAATTTTGTGATTGAATCTTCAATTACCTATACACACAATTGTAAATTCACTTTTATCTTAATATACAGTTTTATGCAACAATGTATTTATAGTTACTTTTAATATATTAGATTATGTTTTAAATATTTGTTTTGTAATTTGACATTACATAGACCAGTTTTTTATTTATCTTTCTCTGATACATTTCAGCCCCATGGATGGCCCAGAGGTTTGGACAAAACTTTGAATAGATTAACATTTCCTATTAAACTACAGTCGAGATGTAATTTAAGAATGACAAACAATTTGGAAAAATAATGAATATTATTAATTTACTGTATTACAATTAATTACTTATTGAAATACAAATAGTTACTACCATGATGTTTTCAATTTAATTTCAATGCGCTAAAAATAAAATAATAATAATTGAAAAAAACAACTGTACATTAAGCCTTTGAATGGGTCAATGGGATCTCCACCTTTGTACCAAGTGAATTCCATCTGTTCTGAGCCTTGAGCAGTGCAGGATAGAAGTACCTGTTCATTTTCAAAAACCTCCCAGTTGTTCACTTGAATATCCTGAAATATATTGATTGCATATACAATCATATTAACAAAAATTAAGGCATTAGTGCAAATGGAAATAGTGTTAGTTCCTTATCGCTACTCCAAGGTGGCGGCCAGTTTCAAGATTGGTCGGGCCTGCTGTTTCTAGATTTCCTAAACTAAATATTCCCGAAAGAGGACAGCCGTCTGATCCCCAACCTGATCAAACCATTCAAGTCAAATTATCCGCTATTTCAAGAAGGAGTATTTCAAGCACTTATGCCTAATGCTAAAGTTGAATTAGATCTTATCTAATCACCGCCAGGTTCATTTCGACTTATACATCAGTAATAGGTGAATCGAATTTTCGAAACGACCATCTTCGCATCTTCAGAGCAATAGCTGTAGGTGATTCTGAAAACGGCCGCCGAGTTGGAGTAGCGAAACGGAATTAGTAACTGGCTTCCTGTTATTAAATATTCTATAAATAATCGCAATGGTAATTGTGTTTAGACACTATTAGTTAAAAACAAAATAGAGATAAAAATACGGCACATTAGTTCCAAGATGGCGGTGGGGCCCGCACAGTGTTGCCGCTCATCAAAAACAATCTTAACTACCCTACATACTGTCAACCCTAGCTCGTTGGAAAACCTTACAACTATTGTAGCTGTGCTGTATATTATTTTTTATATAGGAAAATTAGATCATAGCTTAGCTGAAGCTGCTATTATTGATCCACGCCGATCGTATAGTCATCCCTTAAAGGAAGAACTATACTTGAAGGAAAAATATAGGGATGAATTCGGTGAGAGAAAATTCTGTTAAAGGACTATGGTTCAGAAATAGGTCAACCACCCCTCTTACTATAACTAATATCCTGCAGAGACTCAGTAAGAAGGAAATAGATGCAAACCATGGCAGAAACTATTATTTTAGACTCGTAATCCTCCATAACTACATATATTAATCTTCGCCTTCGCTTAATTGGTTCTGTAAACTGTTCTTTGCATATTTGCTGTTACAATGGCCCCACCTGACTCTTTGTTATTTTTTTTATCAGAGGTACGTCCATTTTCCTGACTGAATAATTTTGCCGAGAATTTGATTAAGGCATTGGGCGGTACGATTCAGCAGTAACTTCTGTTACACCTGGCTTCAGACAGCAACCAGCCTAGCCTCTTTCCAGATATAGGAGAAAATGCCTTCGTTCAAGCATCTATTGTAAAACGTACATAGAGGATTAATAAACGCCATTTTTGTACTCCTTGTAAGATATCGCTTCCTATCATATTCGGCCCTGGTGCCTTCCCCGGTCGGAGTGTGTGTCTCTCAAGTTGTGTGGCTAGCAGATGGCAAATGACGGTAAATAACAATGGACTATACTTTGAGTATTACCGTTGTTATTTGGGAATAAATCAAATAAATAATAGTAATAAAATCACTGCGAACAATAAAAAGGAGACTGCACTGTTATGAGGAATCTTTTAATTTCGATTTTCGATTATTAGATAGATAGATAGATAGAAAAAAAAACTTTATTCTGGGACTAAGTCCCTTCAGAATAACAATAATGTACAAAATAATAGAATATTACTGGCCTGAACGTTGAAACAATAAATGAAATTGATAAAATAAAATAAAAAGTAAAGAAAACCTTAGGTGCACAAGCTATATACAATACAGATACTACTATGTACAGAGCATTTAAAATTATGAATAAAACAATTAAAACTATGAACGAATCATTTGAACTATGAACAAAATTATATTTCAGGGTTGCACAACATATATATATACAATATATATATGAAAATAAACAGTTACTTATAATTGAATAAAAAAAAAAATACAAAAAAATGTGTGTGTTGAAATTCCTACGTCGATAGTAGGAAATGCATGTACTATCTCTTACCAAGTGTAATGATTATATGATTGCTACACAATACATATATAATATTAATCGTTAGCTGGTATCTGACTGTTTTTGGAACAGGAATTGGAATAGGAGGTTTTTGAATGTGTACAGGGAAAAGGCATGTCGAATTTTGATCGGGAGGGAATTCCAAAAGTTGACAGAGCGGGCTATAAAGGAATTTTGGAATGAGGCAGATCTATGAGAAGGGATGTATAGGTCAGAGGGTCGGGATCTTGTAGTGAGTGAATGGATTGAGGACTTAAATTGGAGAAGGTTGTAGGCATAAGAAGGACGATGATCGGTAATGATTTGATAAAGGAAAGTGCCAAGGAAATATTGTCTTCTTAAGGAGGGGAAGAGCCACCCTAACTCAGTGTAGTGGTGGGAGACACGGGAGCGTCTCGGGGTTCCGATTACAAATCTTACGAAGCAATTCATAAGTCTTTTGAGTCTATCACGCAGTTCCACCGAGAGGCCATCGTACACCACACAGCTGTAGTCAAAGTGGGGAAAGATGAGAGAGGAAACTAGGAGTCTACGGGTATTTTGGGGTAGAAGATGGCGGAAGTGATGGAATAGTTTGAGGGTAGAAATTGTACGGCGGGATATATGAGAGATATGGTGATTCCAGGAAAGGGTTTGATCTATGAGAAAGCCTAAATTTTTAACAAAGGGATAGAAGGTGATGGGGTGGTTGTTTAGATAGAGTGAGGGAAAGTTGGTGTGGGATCTAAGAAGGGGCTTGGAACCAATGAGAATGGCCTGAGTTTTGGCCGCATTTAGCCTTAATCCATTTAAGTTGGCCCAGGCATTAATTCGATCTAAATCTTCTTGAATTTTGGCAAATGCCACCAATAACTCAGCGGGAGAAAAGGATAAATAGATTTGAGAATCGTCGGCATAAAGGTGGTGGGAACAATCAATAATCATCATAATTATTATTTTAATTATTTCGATTTTATTTTCCTATAGTGTTATAAAGTGGACGCTGACGATAAACTGCCTCTGCCAATCAGGAGCCAGCTTACATCATGATCAAGTTAGAGTCGTCTCATTTTCAATAGTTCGGATTTAATTTGACTCTGGTGCAGTTCGGTTTGTTAAACATTTATTTTAAATAAGTGAATAGTGCCTTAGGTGTGTGATAATGTTAATTTATTTTTATAAATCTCTCTCTCTCTAAAAAATTTTCTCTTCAAAACAATGATGCTTACCTTTAGTCTTAGCCCTTGTTCGTGGCTCAGAACAATGGGGGACTTGAGGATAGATACCTCTCCGATTCTCCTGCTCTCGGAAAACTTCTGCTGAACTAGACGGATCTGGCTGAGGTCGAGGAGGTCGCCGAAGAAGTGGAAGCTCATCTGCCCGGAGTCACTAAAGGAAAATTGGTGTTGAGAGCAAGTTGGGACAATTTAAGTTGGAGGTTGAAGCAATATGTGTAAGGAAGAAAATGTAGATCTTACCTCATGTTGAGGATCATCACGTCTTCTAGACGGCCCAGGGAGAATGTCCTCAACAGCTCCTGGATCTTAAACAGAGGGAACCTGTAGTTAACTTGAGGCATTAAGTTATGATTAAGAATAATCAGGGGGGCAGTTCAGCTAAAATGTGAAGGATGTAAAAAGGATCTGATAAATTTTAAAATAATTTGGTGCGGTGCGCGCATCACACAACGTTCACTTACCACCCCTCTTTTAGAGAATAGGTATTTTCAGACATAAGAAAGTGAAAGTAAAAATTATGGACGGTACGAAACATTATTTAAAACAATTAATTACTATATTTTTTCATGGCCGTCTAATGTACTATATAAATTTTGTTTGACACTAGCCATTTTCTTTTACGAATGTATATTTCAATCATTTATTTGACTATAATAAATAATTAAGTGCCATGAAATATTTTTAGTCTGACAAGAGTAGCAATGACAAAGAAGGTTGCTTTATTTATTTATATTTCATTGTGGGTATTTTTATTTGTTTAAGTACGAGTGTATATACAAATTTAAATTTTTGTATCACTGTAATCTGTACAATTAAATATTAAATAGTACCAAAAATAGCATTTATGAATACCGGACACTAGTGGATCCAGTATTTAATTTTGGGGAGGAGGGCTTCAGTCCGAAGGATTTTTTTTTCATATATATAACGATAATTAATTTGAAAAAAAAAGAAGAAAGAAACTAATTACCATGTGACATGGTGTCTTACTGATTCTTGAAGTCCTATTAAATGTAATTACACGAACAATAATAGTTTAAGAGATAGTTTTAAATATTTTTTCTATAAAACATGGTTATATTTTACCAATTTGGGGGGACTTCAGTCCGAAAGTATTACCGTTAATACTTTTTTATTTTAATAAATAAAAAATTAAATAAATATTTAATAAATAATAGTACCTCACTATAACTAATGTCCAAGTGACAGATTGTTGTAATACTCAATAAAAAATAAAAAATAAATAATAGTATTAAAATCACTTTGAACAATAAAAAGGAGACTTCGCTGTTATGAAGAATATTTTAGTTAGAATATTTCGATTTTATTTTCCCATAGTGTTATAAGGTGGACGTTGGCGCTTAAATGGTTCTGCCAATCAGGAGCCAGCTCATATCACGATAAAGTTAGCGTCGTCTCATTTTCAATAGTCCGGTCTGGTGCGGTTCGGTTTGTTAAACGTTTATTTTAAATGAATGAATAGTGCCTTAGGTTTGTGATAATGTTGATTTATTTTTTGCTCAGCTATGATTTCATTTAATTCCGTATCGAAATCTGCTTGTTTTAAAAAACAAAGCTGATAATAGTGGACTTCAAGAAAAACTAAACCGTATTAGGATCTTCTTGCTGTGAGTTAATTATTTTAAAGACTTAATGCATGATAATTATTTTTTCTTTATTTGATTAGATAAATCTTTTTTCATGTCTTTTCTTACAGAATAAACTTTATAATAACATACCGTTCCTTAATATTTAATTTTATTAAGTTTAATTCATTATCTACTGTTATTTAATAAATAGGTTTTAAATTATTATAGCTATACAGAAAATACTTGAATTTAGTTCATCATTTAGGTATCTAAAATGAGGTTCCTTATAAATAAATGATATTCAAGAGTAAGATTCCTAGGATATTGCTATTATTGATACTTTACAGCCTCCGAATTTTAAATCGACCATAATTTAGTTGCAATTTTTAATTTTTGTCCTTATCTTTTTTTTTAAAAAATATACTATTCTATATATAATTGATTGTTTTCGTTGGTAATAATTTAGAAGAGACCATACGGGTTAGGCGTGGTTCACAATCACTTCCGCTGCACTTCTTCATGGAGTGCTGGATGCATGGGGGTTTATCCAAAAGACTTTTCGCTGTTTCATGAACTAGTGTGACCGAAATGATTGTGAACCACGCGTTTAACCTTTACGTAACTTTTTAGAGTGGACTGTTGTGTTTGTTTTCTTATTTTTTTAGACTAAAAGCTTCACGATGTTGATTTAGTGAACCAAAAATTAAATTTTATAATTGAAAATTATATTAATTTCGGACAGATTGTTGAGTACATAAGATCGCTGGTCGCGAACTTACGAACTTGCCAAAATCATAATGGAAATTTCTACTGAAACATAAGAATATAATTCATAAAATAATTCAAATATGATTTATTAAATGCTCAACGGAATATCCTTAACTTTTTAAGAATTTTACAATTAAAAGTAGATTAACTTTCATTTACTTAATGTGCATATTTGAATTGGTACAAAGTACTATGGTTGGTCGTGAACTTAAGAAACCGCCAAATACTTAGTGGAAAATTCTACTCAGAGTTTGTAGCTTGCATTTCAAAACCTATTATTCATTCATTATTATTATTCTTTCCAGATTTAGTTTTAAAAGTTTCATTTTCAGCCAAAAAATGCTCTTTGTTTAAATTGTCGACTATCATGAGATTAAACATTTATTTTAAAAATATAATTCAAGGAATTTAATAGACTGTTCTACATATGATAGGTGATAAATAGTCAGGAAGCAAGTTATTTTTCGTGTTTTTGTTAGAACCTTAAAGATGACTGCATACTCACTATTTACCAATGTAAATTGTTAATTATTTCAAATAAAAAAAGTTTTTCAATTTTTTGTTCGATTACAATGGTTCATTATTGAAAAATAAAGGTACTTTAGAGAAAGCTAATATTGAAAATTAGTCATTTAAGTACTGTTAAAGAATGTCAATGAGAAAAAAAACCAACATTATATTAAAAACTGGTTAATTTTACACTGATGTAATATATTTTTTTTCTTTGAATTTTAATCTGCACCTGTCGACAACTGTTAACAATCAGCAGATGGTCTGATTAAAGAAATGAAACTGACATGTCAGGCATGGGGAAGGATAGCAGCCAGCAGTACCTCTTGTCTGGCTTGAATCAATAACTGTGGTTTGTCAAGGAAGGAGTATATTATTAGTATGTCCCTGTAAGGTGGACGAGGGGGCAGAACGGGCTCAGCACTGCCGTTGCCCGGCAACTTGATATATGAGACAATGGATTGAAAATAGCTCGAGTTCGCATCCCGGTGCGGGGAAAGTCTTTTAAATCTCTGCCCACACCCCTGGCTGGGAAAAACCCCGTATCAGCCTCTTAAGGCTTTAAAGGCGACGAAGGGGAGGAGGACACAAAGTTTTGAAGATTTGGAAAAAGTGAGTAAAGTAGTTTGAGTTGTCTATTGAGGGTCTTTCATTCAAATCCGTTTCATTAAAACTAAGTAAGTAACTTAAAAAACAAAAAACATTTTGTTATAATTTAAATACGAGAGGCCCTTAAAAATAACGAATAGTAAAATAATTGCTCATTAAACAAAATCATTGTGTGTACAGTTCACAGTTGAAAATATTAACATGTAGAATCAAAAAGTAATATCATGTTCTTAAAAAATATACTTAAAATCAACTGTAGGCGAACATAACTCCATTGCTATCTTTAAACCACTATACTTAAATAGTAAATTTATACATAAAATCTATAAATATATACAGATTATAGTATGCTGTAAGAATATATTCCAAAGCCATGAGGTTTAGATCTGTAACACAAACATAATAATAAATGGATGGAATATTTGAATTAAGTACAACAATGAAATGAAGAAAGATTTTAGCCTCTGTTATGGACAAAACTAAATTCTTACCTGTCAAATGTTGCCGGTCTCAAGTATCCACCACTGACGTCCCACGTCGAGTCCATTCCGGAATTACAAGATAAGGAAGAAACAAAAATGAGAATCTAAAAATTAAATGGAATTGGTTAGCAGAAATTAAATGTTTTTTAAAAATAATTTGATTTCACAGGTTTTAAAAAAAAATCAGTAAAAATCTTCTAAGAAAATATAGTTATTGTTACTATAACACTGAAATTAAGTTAAATCAATTGTCATTCTTACCACCTATATGAACTCAATGGAGATTTCTTATAACTCATTTTTCTAAATAGTATTACATTCTGTTTCTAACAAAGACAATGATAACAGTGAATAAAGGGCACATTTACATCATATTTGCTTAAAACACAGATCATGGAAACCATAGCTTATTAAAATACTTATCTGCCAGTTACCCATTATTGGGATCATACTACTGGGCCACCTCGAGCAAAAAATTATGCAATGGGTCATTTAGTGCATGCCTAGATTTCCAATAGTACCGTGCGAGCTACCCAGTATTATGATTTCTTTGTCTCTCATATCTTGGAATCCCAGAACGGACCTCTCTCCACCTCCTTTCTATGTTTTGTGTGTAAGCACCAGTGATGGGGTCGATAAAATTGATGCTATGGTTAACTGCCAGATGTTGGTATAGTTATTGGTTCGCTATAAGGTTGTAACCTCCTTATTGGTCTGATAAGATGGTAGTACCCGGGATGATTCAGCACATTACAACATGAACTCACTAGCGAACCAACAATACCAACATCTGAGGGTTAACCATAGCATCAATTTTATCGACCACATCACTGGTGCTCACACACAAAACATAGAAAGGAGGTGGAGAGAGGTCCGTTCTGGGATTCCAAGATATGAGAGACAAAGAAATTATAATACTGGGTAGCTCGCACGGTACTATTGGAAATCTAGGCATGCACTAAATGACCCATTGCCTCATTTTTTGCTCGAGGTGGCCCAGTAGTATGATTCCAATAATGGGTAACTGGCAGGTAAGTATTTTAATTAGCTATAGTTTCATAATTGGTAATTGGTTGACTGTCGTGGATAATGAAGAGAAGAATAGTTGGGGTGCTCAGTCAAAACCTTTTTTGACTGAGCACCCCAACTATTCTTCTCTTCATTAGCTATAGTTTCTATGATCTGAGTTTTTTTCAAGTATGATTCTCATTTTCTGTGACTGATTCTCATTTTTGTTTCTTCCTTATATTGTAATTCCGGAATGGACTCGACGTGGAACGCCAGTGGTGGGTACCTGAGAACGGCAACATTTGATAGGTAAGAATTTAGTTTTGTCCATAACAGAGGCTAAAATCTTTCTTCATTTCATTGTTGTACTTAATTCAAATATTCCATCCACTTATTATTATGTTTGTGTTACAGATCTAAACCTCATGGCTTTGGAATATATTCTTACTACATACTATAATCTGTATATATTTATAGATTTTATGTATATACTTACTATTGAATCTCTTAAAATATTGAACTCCAAGACTGGAGTTGTGTTTAAAGATAGCAATGGAGTTATGTTTTCATTGCCTACCGTTGATTTTAAATATATTTTTTAAGAACATGATATTAGTTTTTGGTTTTATATGTTAATATTTTCTGCTGTGCATTGTACACACAATGATTTTGTTTAGTGAGCAATTATTTTACTATTCGTTATTTTTAAGGGGCTCTCGTATTTAAATTATAACCAATGTTTTTTATTTATTTTTTATTGGAACTAATAAAGTCATTAAACAATGTTAGGAAAGGTTAAGGCTGAAAGCCAAAACATGAGATGATGTAAAACCTAAATCTTTCATAGGCCTATACTTCGTTTATGTAGCTAAGGTACATTTTATGCACAAGCTGATTTTAATAAATATAAAACTTCTACAATATGCTGAATTTTCAAAGGAAGGGTGAATTAATTTGAATTAAATGCAAATATTTTTAATGAAGAAGAAGGCAAAGAGTTGCTCCTGGTGAAATACACAACAGGATGAAGATAACTTACACTTTCTTGCTAATATCTCATTATGACAGGATTCAGAAAAATTAATCAGACAATATAATAAAAAAGTAGATACAGGTAATGTTAGCAGATAGCAATGGGAATGGCTAGGAATAACTGGTCAGATTATTTAAATTGGTTTGGAGATTAAGACAATTTCGGAATTAAAATAAACAAATGTCAATAATTGAGATGTATACATAAAAATATATTTGAAGCACCTGTTATTAATCTTGCAGGCCCAAGTTGACACATAATTTAGGTAATGTTTGAAAAAGATAATTCCTTAACTAAGTACCTCTTGGAGCATTGCATTTTGTACACACACAAATGCACGTACACACTTTGAAAACTGAGATTCGAAAATTTTCACGAACGCAAAACATTCCTTTACTATATATTTCATATGCAGGTATAAAGTATAGCATTTGGCAGGCTGCCATCATTTCAGTAATTTATTGTAATTAGTTGAATAATGTAAAGTTTGAGCTGGTCGAGAGGCAAAATTTATAGTATAATAATAATAAATTATTCTTTTCAATATATATATATATATATATATTGTAACATCTCTCTTATATTTTACAAATAATATAACCTCGTGGCAGACCACTTTATACCATTGGGATACTTCCTAAATAAATAAGAGGTTATTAAATAATAAACAAAATTATAAGAGTATTAATATATTTATTTATCTCAGGTATGGGTTACTTACAATCAGATCAACTCAGACAAACTACTATTATTTACACTATTTATACTAAAATTAAACACTAATTTTAAAATAAAGTCAATATAAATTGGCAAGCTAACCTTTTTTCTATATACACTGTTTCTTCCTTTGTTGCACTAAAGTCATTGGTCTTATAAAATTTTCCTATGTTCTGCCAAATACATCTTCAAGAATGGTGACACTTTCTTCTATTCAACTTAAGCCCCCTGGGAGATCCTCTCTCTTGTAATTCCAAACAACTACTAGTCTGCCAAACAACAAAATTCAAGATGGTAAAACTATTACTGGGTTTTACCCACTGGAGCCAGGATCCCTTCTCCTATCCTCTTTTCACTGCAGCCACACAACAACTCTTTGCCAAAACAAAAGCCTTTTTCTCTCTCCTCTTTTTTTGGGATTTTCCTTTCTGGGAAACTACAGAGCAGCCATTTTCTTTTCCCTGCACTAACTAGATTAGCTTGCCTTTTAATTGTTCAACATTAATTTACTAAAGCCTTTTTACTCACTTCCAATAAAGGTGCACATTACAATATATATATATATATTTAGGTAATGATTTATGAAAATAATGACCCAGTATCACCCATTATATATATATATATATATATATATATATGTATAATGGGTGATACTGTGTCATTATTTTCATAAATCATTACTTGTCTATTTCTGTACTCCGAGTAATTTGGTGTGTTAGATTCAATAACTACTGCCTCTATCTTTGCTGCTTCCTCCAAATAATCTTCTGAAACAACTGTGCTTGAGCCTGGCTAAAGTGTTGTTGGAACATATATTCCATGGTAACCGGATTATTTCACTCTGGCAACTCTATTTGTAGACATTTCGCTGCAAAGTGTCCCAGGTTTTTACGAACGTAACTGACTAAAACATCTTCAGAATGAAAAATCCAGTGACTAATTTCCTGATAGGAAAAAGTAACCAAACAATTTAACTTTGTTACATCATCATCCGCTATGAACACTTGTCGCCGGAACGTTAATCTATGGCTGTTTTTTTCCCTCATACCTGAAATTTTGCTTCCCCACCGCTCTTCATTGCTTTCCTACACCTCTCCATTGCTTCCCAAACCCTCTTCATTGTTTCCCCTATCTCTCTCCAATCCATCTTCATTACTTCCCCACCCCTCTCCTTTGCCTCCCCACCCCTCTCCGTTGCCTCCCCACTCCTCTCCATTGCTTCCTCACACCTCTTCATTCCTTCCCCATCCCTCTTCATTCTTTTCCCACTCCTCTCCATTACTTCCCCTATTTCTCTGCAATCCATCTCCATTGCTTCCTCAGCCCTCTCTATATCTTCCCAATCCCTCTCCAAGGTAAGCCTTATTTTATTTTAAACTGAGTATTCAAAGTGATAATACATCTTTTAAAATGCCTGGAACTCTTTTTTTTAAATCAAGTCCAAAGTTAAAATTGGATTTTGGAATAATATTTTGTGTAGTCTGCTAAAAAACTATTATCAGCGACAAAAAAATCACATAAAATTTGAAATTATAAAGGTATGGTTAAATCGACCATACTCGGAGAATAAGCCAGAATAATGTTCTTGCCGTTTATCACTGGATGAACTGAACTCTGACAATGGTTCCTGTATGGGCTTTATATTTTTGTCAATTGATTATACATATATTAATTCTAAGGGGAAAGAAGAAAAAAAAATCATAAATATATATATTATTTAAGTGAAAATGAAGTAAGTGGGTGTATTTTATTTTATTGATTTATTTTAGATAACTAAGCCCCATAGTTCGAATCTGGCAATAATATTTTATAGATATTTATTTCCCAATAGTTTGAATGTATTTCATTTTTATTTATGTCTTTACCTGCTTCTCCAAGTAATTGTTTAGCATCCTTCCAGGATGTTGAACTGATAAGCCTGTAATGTTTTCGATGTTGAGAGTCATTATATAGCGCCACCTATCTGCAACATTAACAACAATCATTAACTACGAGGTGTAGCTTTAATGATTAAATCCTGTTTCGCTTGAAAGAGGATATGACTTACTAATAATCTCTTTTATTAATATGTAATATATAAAGTGATATTTATAAAGTGTTCAAGCTCCCCTTGGTGCCTGAGTTCATTGGCCGAAGGCATATCAAAATTTTTGATGGGCTGCAGGCCTGTGCTAATTCATTATTCCAGGATATAGCCCTACCACCCAGGCCTGTGAGATGGCAAGGCAAAATCCCTTTGTTGGACATGCTCGCCAAAGGAAGGCGTCTGGATCCTGCAGTATATTATAGACATATTTCATTTCTTACATTCCTCAATTTGTATATATATATATATATCTTTTCCTATCTTAATCTCCGTGTTTTTTTATAGTTTGCAATACCATTGTGTATTGTATAACATATATACATTTTTTTTTTTTCTGGTGTGATCCAGTTGCTCATCTTCTGTCATTAATATATCTTTAATATATGTATGCATTTTGTATGCTTTAGCTGTTTGGGTTTTAACATAAGTCAATCAAGGGTTTTTTATTTATGTTAATTTTGATATTTTTTTCTTTTCTGGAGGTTTCGCTTTTTCTTTCTATACATGTAATTTATTTTTATTTATTTACTTTTGTCTTTCTTTTCAGTAAAATTATAAGTATAGTTGAGAAGATTTTATTTTATTTTTTAGTAATTTACATACTATTATTTAAGTTGTATATATTGCTTGAAACCTTATTAAGTTAGTTTTTGGCCAGATATGTGATTTTTCTTTTGTAACTGTTCAATATTGTTATTCTAAGGGGACATCGTCCCAGAATAAAGTTTTATTTTCTATTTCTATTTATATATATAAGTATATTTACACAGGATGTTTCTGGATCAAGTGGCCAAACTGAAAATATGAATTAAGGATCTCAAAACAAGAAAAAAAATTCCTATGAAGGTATCTCTACAAACGCTTTGTTTAGGAGATATTGACAACTAAATATTTTCATTGTTATGAATTATTTACGTTATATTAAGTAAATAAAACTTATTCATTTGTTACAACTACAGTATTAATTGGACATAAACATTAAGGTCATATTAAATGTTGTTCAAAATGATGTCCTTGAACATTGAGTTAGGCTCGGTATCTTTCTTCAACAGCAGGAGTGGCAGAACGGTACTGGATATGTGTTATTATTTCACAAGATTCAATTATCCTTATTCATAAGGAATTAAGGTCATTGACCCAACTTGCATAGACTTTTTGCTTAATGTCACCCCAAACAAAAAAATACCTCTCGACCTCTCCGTAATGTGCAGGACAACCATCTAATTGAAGCCACACGTTCCTTCTCAGATGTAGTGGAATATGTTCAAGTAAAACATAGTAAAAGAAGAATTCCATAGTAGATTCAGAAATTCCATAAGTGTGCCCGCATTGAGTCGAGGCGGCAAGAAATGTAGACCTATTAAAATATAGTCTACTATCCCCAACCACACATTGCACTGAAAAGTGCTGAAAGTGATGCTCATGAATTGCATGGGGATTTTCCTGCGACCAGAGATTATTATTTTTCTGATTGAAGATCTCTCATCTTGTAAAGGTAGTAATCTTTCCAGAGAATTTTATCTTATTACTTATGTTTTAGTTATTCTTTTATTGTAATATATATTTTGGCCAGATGTAACGTTAATTTTTATGATCAATATTGTTATTCTTAAGGGACTTTGTCTCAGAATAAAGTTGATTCTTCTATTCTATTCTAATTATACTTTAAAAACTGAAAGCAAACGGTTTTTTAATAGTGGAATTTCTCAATCACCTATATTTCATATTTTAAGAGATGTCGAACGCTTATTTACAGGTAAATGCAGTAATTACAGTTAAAATTGAGAAAACAACTGTCGGATCTTCTGAAAAGTATTTAATAAAAAATCATTAACTTGTGTTGGTCTCATTTATTGATTAAATTAAAAAAAGCAATTTTTCATGTAGTCTAACATTTTTTTCTTGTTTTGAGATCCTTAATTCATATTTTCAGTTTGGCCACTTGCATAGTTATCTTGTTAAAATTCGCTTAATATCTTTAAATAATAACAGAACAAAACAATAGTATTCAATTTGGAAAAAAATGGTTCAGCCGTTTTTCTAAGACAGTGGGACAATCACACCTGGATCGTTTTAGTTTGTATAACTTATTACATTTTTCATTTATCCATTCATGTATTGTCTGTCACTGATTTTACATTATTAACCATTAACTGTCTTATAATATTATATCTCAGATTGTATATTATTTTCAACCCTGTGTATATTAATTTTCAGCCCTGACGATGACCCACATGCTTGGGTTGAAACGTCGGCTCCAATAAAAAACCTTTAAAATGACTGCAACCTGACTATTTATCACCCATGCAAATGCAGCGCGGTTTGTTTCTATTTCTAGAAAAATACAATTAAACTTTAAATAAAACATATAAATATCGCAATTTAAACTGGCATAAAAATAACAAGGCATAAAGTAAGCAGAAGGAATAGAACCTACGCATTTAGTAATATTTATCTTTGATATTTTTATTTATTTTCTGTATATAAAGAAACTTCAACGGATGACTTCGAAGCCGATTAATAATAACTATAATCTATTTATAAATGTGTGTCCAAAATATTATCTATATTAAACTTTTTTTTCCTCTACCCTGCAAAGTGCAGTGCCCCTTTTATTTATACTGTTTTATTATTTATAAAAATGCAAATGTTCTTTTTACAGCTATTCTACCGTCGCTCAAGTTTTCTTATAGGCTTCGTGCCATATCCACTTTTTTTTCTTACAGATTTAAATATATAGGGCAGCCCTGAATAATTTGTTGGATTATTCTTTGTGCATTATAATTTCCGCCGTTTTGCAGGATAATAATAAACAATTTAATATGATATTCAACTTCAATCATAAAGGAACATTGAATGAATATTTAAAAATAAATAAAAAACAAAACATGTTCATGATTAATTATTAAAGTGTTTGTAGTTATCCTCCATAATTCTCATTGAAGGTAAAATATGGCAAGTTGACATTGCTTCAATTCCACGGTTCAACTAATCTGTATATATATATGGAAAAAAAGTTGAGCCGCCATTTTGTGAAAAAGTATTACATACAGTCATACTTCATAATGAATTATTTATTAATAAGATGGCAGAAACATTACTCAGCGATAAACCTTCCCATCCATTAATCTTCTTTAAAAGATTATCAGAGTAGATCCTGCAGCCATGTTCTTTTCCTCGCTGCCTCAAGTTTTCAAACAAAGAATAACATTTCTATTCGTGATTCCTAAAAGGTTTAAGAGAGTTTTAAGGAATGAAAATGAGAGGTATGACTGTTTGGTGATAAACCAGATTTTGGCTATCATCTTGTGCAAGAAGCCCCACTCTTCGTATATTGAGAAAGAAGTTTGTTAATATTGGTTAATATATTGGTCATTAAAGTTAGGATCCTGAAATTTTATAACGGTGACTCTCCCAATTATCATGATGTGATATTATCATTGATTTCCCCCCCCCCCCTCCCTTTTTTGTTATAATAAACGAAGAATAAACTACTGACTTTTCTAAAAGTTAACAATTATTTAAAAGTTCTATTCCATATATCCATAGTCACTAGTACATCAATCTATTTCTGTACAAAAGAAGCCCATTTCATTGTTGTACTGTCATCTTTGCTGAAAATGAATATTTTTATAAAACAACACTTAGGAAAAATGGGCGATCATCTGACCGAACAATGCAATCTCTTTTCTTAATCGAAAGCAAAAGGAGACAAAATAGATTCCTACATTTTCATTTGTCATTACCACTAACACAATACTATAATAAAATAATGCAAATATCATAAGATGGTGAAATCAATTCTAATTTTCTCAGTAATTATAATCGACCAAGGAAATGAAAATTAATTTAAAACTTCATTCATGTTTTAAATCAACATGTTTACAAATTACGATAAGCTATATCTTTGCCAATAATAGCCCCGTAACTATGATTTATTTTTTGTTATGCAGGGAATTTAGTAATATTTTAAATAATTATGGTTGTCATAATAATTTGAGTTATTTCTAAATAAAGTTTCTTTTCCTTCATAGATTTTTGGCTCAATTTTCGGGATGATGGGAATATTTTTTCCACCTGAAGGAACAGTAATTATTTTTTAAACACAAGGCGAACGGTGAGTTAATCGGCCAGGTCTTGTGATGCCCGCATGAAAATCTTCAAATCCCTATTTGTCTCGCCCAGATCTACCAACTTACCACTGTCCCAGTATTGAAGTCTAGCGAAGTGTTCATATCAACTTTATTTATTTTATAAAGGAAAACAAGAGCGGAGACTACAATTCGCGAAATTCAGAATCCAACGGTACTCCATTCATACAGTACTCTGTTCATGGCATTTGAGCATGACACGTTTGTATTTGCTACAAAACTGATTTAGAGCCTTAATGTAATTATATATGTGGAGATTGCCAAATATTCTGATAATAGGAACTACTAGGGAAACCCCAAATGAAATAAGTAATGGACTGTTACAGTAAATCATTAAATTAAATTAGAATTTTCATTCTGCTCAGCCTCCACTGGTCCTGAACACCAGTATTATGGCTGAGTGAGAGGCGCTGGGATCTCCTAAAGTCTTGACCTTCCTTCCCCAAGGGGGAAAAGGTTTTGTGAACGAGTTTTGTAAATATTGTTTAAAAGCATGACTAAAATTTAAGTAGTTATTTTGATTAGTTTAATTTCTTTTTGTTTATATACATTTACATTTAGTATTATTATTTTTTATTTATTGTACATAGAGTGTGAATGAGCAATTCTTCTATCACTATTACTATTGTACTTAGATATGACAGATTATAATATTCTTCAATAAGGAATTGAAAGAGGTGTGAAGAAAAATTTTTATTTATAATTGAACAATTATCACTGAATATGTTGGATACGTTTTTGTTTGAACTAGCAAAAAGCGAAATAGGAGCTGTACTCTTTATAATTGGTAATTGGTTGACTGTCGTGGATAATGAAGAGAAGAATAGTTGGGGTGCTCAGTCAAAAAGGAAGGCAAAAAATAAATTATAATATTTATTTTTTACATATGCCGACGTTTCGACCTGAAGTTCAGGCCTTCATCAGAGCTAAGAAAATAACCAGATAACAAGGTATGAGAAACATAAGTAATGATGGTAAAAAAGATAATAAAAAATGAGAAAAAAAAATAAAATAAAAAAAAATGAGAAAATAAAAAAAAAATAAAGAAAAAAAAAGAAAAAAAAAGAGAAAATAAAGAGAACCTTATTATTTTTTTTTTTAATTTTCTCATTTTTTATTATCTTTTTTACCATCATTACTTCTGTTTCTCATACCTTGTTATCTGGTTATTTTCTTAGCCCTGATGAAGGCCTGAACTTCAGGTCGAAAGTCGGCATATGTAAAAAATAAATATTATAATTTATTTTTTGCCTTCCTTTTTGACTGAGCACCCCAACTATTACCCTATTCTTCTCTTCAGGTACTCTTTATATATTTATTTTTTTAGACCGTCCTTAACATAAAAAAAAAAAACAAATTGAGAGGAAAAGTGAAAAGTATATACATCGTTTAATTTTAGGAAGATGGAGTGATTAGCTGTGCAAACTTTCTGCCCTCACTTCCTTCAAATATTTATTAAAAATCTTTTACTAATCCGATGATTTTTATCTTCTTTTTTTTTTCTAAACAGGTGGTAGAGAAATTGTCCGTGGTACAGCCCTCTTTTTATCAAATTATTAACATCCGCCTAATGTTAACTCTTAAAATAACCTAAACCTCTTGAATAGCTTCATCTCTTCGTAACCTACAAATATTTTATTTACTAAAACTCTTGAAATTAGAGCGTTTTCATTCTGGATATCGGCAAACTTTCTCTATTTAATTAGCTACTAAAAACGCATAAATATCCCTTCACTTTACACTTGGATTGTAAGATTATGTGATCACAAAATCGAAAAAAAATGGCCTACAAAAATATTAGGCCGTTTGGACTATGTAGCCTCGTTATTTTGAAATTTTGGAGGTGTAGGTTACGACAAATGGTTTAATATTTTTGGAAGGTTATATTTTTTCTCGATTTTGTGCTCAAATTATCTTGCGATTGAAGTGGAATATAAAGGGTATTTACGAGTTTTTAGTACCTAAATTTTTTTTTTAAACATATTTATAGAGAGATATTATTATCAGAGACAATGAAAGACATTTATAATAGTGTTCAAAGAACAAATTCACACTTCATTCGCAATAAATAAAAATAAATAATATAGAAAAATAATAATACTAAAAGTAAATGTATATAAACTAAAATAAACTAAACAAAAGGAAACTAAGCTAATGGAAATAAATACCCAAATACATTCATGCTTCTGTACTATACCTAAAAAAAAAAACATTTACTCAAATGAAGAGTGAATAGGATGATTAAGAGTGGAAGAGTGAATGTGGTGTATTTGTTCGTCCGACATGACCGCGTTACAGGGAAGAAAGAAGGGAAAGGGCGAGTGAATAGGATGATTAAGAGTGGAAGAGTGAATGTGGTGTATTTGTTCGTCCGACATGACCGCGTTACAGGGAAGAAAGAAGGGAAAGAGCGAGTGAATAGGATGATTAAGAGTGGAAGAGTGAATGTGGTGTATTTGTCATGTAGGATATTACTGTTGGAATGACCATGTCGTGTATGGTGATTTAAAATAAACAAAGGTGCATTAACAACTTTTCGTAGAATTTTGATTCGTGTAGATTGTATTTTGTTTATGTGGATGTCATTTTCGGAAGCCTAAAGTTCTTTTACGTACGTCCCAATAAGTCTTAGTACAGCCGTGTAGATTATACGCTTGATTTGTGAGAATAGTGTCGCCTAGTGAGCTCTTGCTTTTTAATTCGTCGTGTATGTGTAGGCTATTGTCAGCAATCTCAAAATGGCGGTACTAAGGCGCACAGGAATATCTTATGCTAGGGTGCTGGAGGCAATCGGCCCTACCGACCCGGAGGCTGTGGCGGGGCGGTGCAACGTACCTCCTTCGATCCTCTGACCGCTGCCGCAGTTACAAGGTTGTTCGTCATGACCGCTCGTTCTGCATCTCATCCAGCAGTCGTCGTCCTGGCAACCTAAAATAAATAAATTAATTATAAACATATAATTATCTGATTAGGTAAACAATTATGTTGAAGTCACTCGAGTGCAAAGGTCCTTTGTTGATAGCCAGGTGAATAAGAAGGTTCATAGTTGATAGATTGACGAATAGGTGCGCAATAAAAAAAAAAGATTTATACTCTTCAAATTAATATTTTTTATGAATTTCTTTTGAGATGTTTACTACGACATTAATATCTTCAAATGTCTTATTCACAAAAAATGGACAGTAAAAGTTTCCTAATATTGCTGTTAAAAAAACATCTGCCTTCCTTACCGTTTTCAATTTCTAAAAAATATCTATATTAAAAGTATCTATATCTATATTACAAATATCTAAAAATTTTCTTATGAGAATAAAATCTCTGAAAGAAGCCGTTTTCGGAAATTCAGTAATCTCTCAACATAAACGGACTTGATATCCACGAGTTTTGTTTATCAGCAAATAATAATTATTTCTTTGTGATTTATTAGTATAATTCTATATTTGATTGCCCTCTGCTATTTTTCATAGTATCTTATATCTTATATCAATTGCAGACTACATAATGTCAAAACCTTAGCACTCACAGTAGTGATATATACTTAATAGGTGATATATGTTTTCACTCGTAAACTGGATGAAACAAAAAATTCATAGGAAAAATTCAACATTTTGTTTGTTCGCAGATTTTTTTTTTTTTTTACAAATTCAGAGTAAAAATTTACTTAAAATCACACGAAATCTATGTAACGGCAATAAGTGTCATGGAATCGACCAAACGATACAGTATAAATTAAATTTTTGAATAAAACCTAAAATTTTATAACCCCATAACAATATTGTAATAACCTAACTCCCACTCCATATGATCAGTACCTTCCATATTTCACAGTCATTATATTGTTAACAAATATTTATATTAATTTTAATTATTAAATGAAATTCAATGAAATTGATACTAAGTAATTTCTATACTGTTCTCCGAATTTCCTCCAAGTTTGTGTCAAATCGAATGCACCGTTTTCAAACTATAGGCATATCAAATAACACATTTCCTGATATGAAAGTGGAAGTTTTTTTTTTTTTAGTATTACACAGAATTTGATAAAATTGATGCCTATTTAATTTTCCTTTACTGTACTTACTGTCAAGAAATATAGAAGCGAACTTACTGTCAAGAACTATGGAAGTGAAGTTACTGTCAAGAACTATGGAAGTGAACTTACCGTCAATAACTATGGAAGTGAACTTACCGTCAATAACTATGGAAGTGAACTTACCGTCAAGAACTATGGAAGTGAACTTACCGTCAAGAACTATGGAAGTGAACTTACCGTCAAGAACTATGGAAGTGAACTTACCGTCAATAACTATGGAAGTGAACTTACCGTCAAGAACTATGGAAGTGAACTTACCGTCAAGAACTATGGAAGTGAACTTACCGTCAAGAACTATGGAAGTGAACTTACCGTCAAGAACTATGGAAGTGAACTTACGTGGGTCGGTGAGAGCCGCTTCACACCTGCTCCCGGTGTAGCCTTCCAAGCACGTGCAGGTCGGGTACTTTCCCGCGTGCCTAGGGCAAATAGTCTATTTAAAATAATAGATAACATTAAATACTAGCCATAGCGATTACAGTTTCATTAATGTTGAAGGAAAACATTTTATTTAAATTATTTGTTTACAGTATTTTTTACGCGAAAAAAAATAATATAAAAAATTTATAAGAAAACTGTTTCGATCCCGGAAATTTTAATTTAAAGATCCATCAGTCAGAAATCAATTCGAGCTAGAAGTTAGTAATAGGTTAGAATCTTTAGGATCTTCTGACGAGGATCGCGATGATATAAAGAAGTTATGGATAGGAATCAGGAATAATATTAAAGAGGTCGGTAACTTCTGTCTTGGGAAAAGGAAAAATAAAAAGAACATAGCGTCGAACTACGCTTGGTTGTTAAAGGTTGTTTAAACATGCGTCATAATAGAAAAGCTGAGAAATTAAAAGTTTTAATAAACCCAGCGAAAACAAACTTGAATACTTCCGAACCTTCAAGAATGAAACGACTAAATTGTTCGAAAATAAACAAAGAGGGCTTCTTAAAAATGAAGAGAAGCCTACAATAAAATCGTAATGCTGCTCAATTATGTTGTGTTGCTAACTCACATAGCACACTAATTCATCTGATTGACAATTTCTTTCTTTTCTCATCCTCATTCTTTTTATTTCTGTAATATAAATAATTCTGTAACCTGATCTATAAAGCAATGACCTGATTTAATACAAGTGATGGTGCAGGATTTGCAGTGCCTACAAAATAATGGACTCTACCAAACTCTGCATCTCATTTCTTTCAATAGCTAGCTTTTCCAAAAAAAAAATAGCAGTTGAATTAGATATAGAAATAGAAATAGAATTGAAAATAATATAAGAGACAACTACAAAGGTATAAATAGATCGCGTAAATGTTTAGGGCCCGTGCCGTCTGGAAATAGGGATGAAAATAACAATATTCTGATCTATCCGGTAGACTAAAGTGACTTTAAGAGACACTTAAGTTTTTCAAAACTAGAACGAGAAATAACGACCTGTGTCCTCCCTTGGCGTACCAAAGAGCCGAATGTTATTAGAAGAACAGAGTAAAGATAAAGTTGAAGTAGATGTTAAATCTTGAGCAGCGGGTACCGGCAATATTCCTTGCGAACTAACTTCCTAACATGCGGGGAAGCTGGAGCTGCCAAAATACATTTGTTGGTTAAAAATATCAGGAAGAATGAGAAATTGCCTGAAGAATGAAAAGAATCCATTATTATTCCGATTCACAAATAGGGCTCTAGAACGGATTGCAATAACTATCGAGAAATAACACTCTTCGCGGGATGTTATGAAATAATTACATTAATCCTTATTTATGGCATCATGGAATACGCCGAGGAAATTATCGGAGACTAACAATGCTGATTTAGACAGAACCGTTCAACTATTGATAAAATATAGAAAATATTTGGTTCGATCAGTCCTGATGAAGGCCTGAACTTCGGGCCGAAACGTCGGCAAATGTAAAAATAAATACTTTTATTTATTTTTGCTATTTTTTATTTTGACTCATCACCCCATCCTTCTCTTCAATAGAAAATATTTGATTAAGACATGACGGAAAATATTGAAGTAGAAAGGCATTGTTCAGCTGTTGTATATAGATTTCATAAAGGCATCTACTGACCGGCAGAAGCAGAATGCTCTAATGACACTCCAGATTGTGTTCTAATCGGGCTCAGTGTTTGTCAGTGTGATTCTTATCATGGCGTAACGTGGTATAGTGACTCTTTGACAACAACCTTTACTTAGCGATTGATGAGGTCCCGGACAAGAAAAACACAAATTAGGCTTTCTAGTCGGTCATGACGAACATTAACATCTTCATCCGGAAACTGAGGGTAGTTTATAATTTTGTGACTCAATTTATACACTGGGCATTCCAATTCAGGTTTTTGATTTAACTGAAAAAGATTTTTTGATGGATTCCAGGCTGTGAATTTTTAGATGTAGAAGGCTCAGAAGAAATTTCGGTGACTCTAAGTTGTGACTTAACAAATTTACAAAACTTTAAATGGTGGAACCGTCTCTTCCCGGACCACTCGCTGGTTTACTTAGGCCTGGTTCCGTCACAAGTTTTAAGGTTTACTGGCACATTTGGGGCAGTTCTGCCTAGTGACTTCCTCATGCCAACAACCTTCACAAAACACTGTCTTCCGCGCTCTACAATATCGAAAAGAGTCTCCAGGTGTAGACCAATTCCGAAACTTTTTCTCTCTGCTAAGCGTAACCCATGTAAACACTCGGGTAGTATCTTGCTTGCGGTGCAGATGGTAGGTTTGAATTCCAGATGTGGTTCCAATAAACCTCTGACGGAGGGTGGGGGACGATGGATACCGACTCTCCATTTCGTATCCTCCAGTTTTCTACCTAAATTCACCAGTGTCCCGGAAGAATCAATCTCATACCAAGCCAGTTGATCACCATAAAAAGGATGTAAGTTCTTCTTGACTGTGTTTAACATGATTTGTTCGGTTGGGAGGGTTGGTAGGCGATAAAAGTAGTTATTCATTACTGCTACGTGAATTCCTACAGGCTGCACAGGACCTTGTGTACGCTTTTAAATCTCAGCCCAAAGTCGACTTCAAAATCAAAAGGTTCAAACTGACTACGCTACTGTTCTACTAAATCATCCCAACTATGAACTTTTCTTTTCACCGCCCAATACCAAGCCAAGGTGGGATAAAAGTAGTTTTTCAATCAAACTCTAAAAAAAAAAAAAAAGTTGCTGTCACATCCGGCCCATATACAAACCTTAAATACTTAATATCAGTTTTGTACTACTTTTCGTTTATGAGCTAGACTGTTAACACACAGACACACACACACACACACAGACCATTTTGCGACAATTGGTGATTTGAACTCAGGGGACCTCAAAACATGTATTTCCGTTGAAAACAGATTCGAAAATTTTCACGATCGCAATACTTACCCTTACTATATATTACATATATACGTAAATGAAAGTAAAAATCAAATGCTGAATGATACAGCTCCGTTCCACGACTCTCTAATTCATCGATTTAGGCATGGAAATCTATTAATACTAGGTCCCTCTTCTTCTCCTGAGAAAGACATTCCCCAGTCTTTTTAATAACACAACCCAATCCAATGAAGAGTGGTTGCTGAGATATTCGGGCCGTTTCTTGAGATGAGCTTTGTTGGTCAGCGGTTTGCTGGGTTCTCGGTACCAGTCGGGAATTTTTCATCTGATTTCTGTAAGACATAACTGAATTAGATCGGATGAATCTTTCTTTTCTTGACCGCCAGGCGAGTTTAACCGCCTTAGACTATTGATAACATGCTGTAAAACTGAGTTTATTTTCTCAAACTCTGATTTTAAACTTGTTACAGGGATTTTAGTGGTTGCCCAATCTAATTTTTCCTCACAAGCCTTAAGATCATCGTCAGCAGTCAATGGACCCACAGGCAGTGGCGGATCCAGGAATTTTCTCAGGGGGGGGGGCGCATCTCTGTACCACGTGCTAACCCCACCCCTACCGTTCCCCTACCATTACCCATTCCCCCCACTCCTTAGCTGAGTTAAGCCGCTCAAAAAACCTCATTAAAAGGTTTTAACAAAAGCATCTTTATTTTTATTTAGAGTAAATTTGACTATTTTACAGCACAGATGGGCATATTTATATTCAAAAACATAAATACGAATACCATTTATATTTATGGTACTAATGAATATAAATATGAATACAGATGATACGTATTCACTATATATATAGTGAATATATATTTTTTTAAACATAATTTAATAAATATATATTTTTTTAAATAAATTAGAGTATTCACTAATAAGGTCGTGTGAAAATATTTCCATTCACTTCTGTAAATTTAAGCGTATTCATTTTAGTAAACGTGAATACTCCCGTATTCACTTTTACTAGTGTAAATACAGCCGTATTCACTTTTACAATCATGAATACGACGGTATTTATATTTACAGCCGTGAATACGTATCATCTGTATTCATATTTCTTTTTATGAATATAAATATATTCATATTTATATTCATTAGTATCATAAATATAAATGGTATTCGTACTTATATTTTTGAATATAAATATGCCCATCTCTGGTTTAAAGTGAAGCTATCATTAATTACTTAAATTAGTTTTTTTGTTATCACCTTCTATCCAATAAAAAACGTGACAAATATAAAATCACAAAACTTTAATTACCTACTTTCCTGCTGAAAAACGAACCATTGTTTATATATATATATATATATATATATATTTTTTTTTTTTTTTTTGTAAAAAAAACCTAAATTGATAACACGAGTCACCAAGAACAAACTTTTTACAGTCGAAAATTCTAGATTTATCTCATCTTTTTTTTCATGTATTACTACTGAATAGTGCATCAAAGCGAAAAACGTATTGTTTAAGAAATTAAAAAAAGGTCAAATTGTGCGAATGAACGAGTACCTAAACTTAATAATTTGATTAAGTGATATGGTCGATAACCACGGTCAATGAACGCTAATTTTTACAGATATTGTCAAAATCTGAGAAAGATTACTATAAATGGCGCTGCAGCTTGGAAATGGATTCTCTAAGAAACAACTCAGAATAATTTCCGATTCCGATAATCAGATCCAATCAAATGGAGACAATAATTATACATTCCTTCATGAAAACGTTCCCAACAGCAGCTATTTTAATAAAATAACAACACATTCTAATGAGAATTACACAAATTATTATCGTGACCAGTTTTATGATTCACATGGATTCTTCAAGGAGATTGTAGTTGCTGAAGGTCGCAATGCGTACAGATCTATTGAAACTGAGTAAAAACTAGGTCCGGAAGAAAACCCGCATTTTCTAGTGCTCGAATGAAAGGTGGTTCGAAAGAATAATTGAAGTTTTTGTTTAATAAGTTTTCCTCCATCATGTATTTCACCTGCGAGACTCAGTTCGGAGTCGATAGGAACAAACTGCGACAGGAGCAGAAGCCTTCGC